TACTAATGTTTAGGAGGTACATACACCGTTCACTATGCTCACCATCTTAGTTTAGCATATTAGCATGCTAACAATCATATTAATTAGCACGAAACATGAAGTACAGCTGAGACAGATGGGAATGTAATTTGTTTAGTATTTGTCCATAAACAGGTAACAAAATATTAGATGAACAGATATTTTGACCTGATGATGAAAAGTCAGGTGATCACCAGAGTTTAAGGAAATATGAACAAATGAACCACATTTTAATCTCATAGTTGTTGACACATTTCACACTGTCACTAGTGTGGCTGAAACATCTGGACTGGTACAATGTCATCATAGCAAAATGTTTTCCCCTTTTTCCCACTCATTAATGCATTCACACAGGAGATCATTATTACTAAGATTAAAACATTCATTCATCTTTAGTGTTTAATATTTGTCATTATAAACTGTTAGACTGCCCTGCCTCTGGTATTATTGCAGCAGTGATATTGTAGTTATATGATGTATTATGCTTGGGCAGATATTCAGTTATATCAAATATTGTGATATCGCCCGCTAAATGTGATATTTTTCAGAATATTGAAAATATATGTATACATTTTTAGCAGTTTTGCACAGTCTGCCCTAATAATAATATAATAATGTATTGTGTAATACCAGAAATATATATTATTAAAAAAAACTGAAATATCCAATTCAACAATATAATTATGTATTATTTAAAAAAAAAACAAAAACAAAAAAACAACAGAAACAGTGGTTTCAGTTGTTAATATCGTATATATTAACAGCTGTATATCAACATATGATATTATCATGTATTGCAGTATTTGGGCTGGACTACTTCCAGACACTGAATTTTGGATGTCGCCCCGGCCTATGATGAATCCTTATTTAAACACGAGGCCAGTTATGGTACAAGTGGATGACTAGAGTAATAGTGCAGAGAGGTCTGTGACGCAGAGACTGAAGAGGTTCCAGACTCCTCAGTCCTATTTGTTCATCAGCTGCTGTACACTGAAAAACCAAAATGCTGACATGAACCCTCCTGATTTGCTCAGTGTTTGCCGCCCATCTGTGTGAGAGCAGGAGTCAGCTGGAAGCGTGAAGTCTCCACAGTGTCAGTGTGAACAGCAACACCCCCGGTCTGACAGAGCACTGCCTTCTCACGGAAGCAGTCAGCTGCTCGTCAGACTGTTCATTTGTGCCGATGATATCTGGTTCTCTCTGACAGAGATCAAAGGAGCTGTTTAAAAATTCACAGCTGAGATATGAAAACTTAGAATTAACCCAGTTCTGTGTGCTTGTTTTTATTGAAGGAGCTCCGTGTAGCATTTTAACATCAGTATATTATTACGACATCGGTGCTAATGTTATTGATTTTTATTTTGGAAAGCACTTTGTGTTACATCAGACGAATGAGGGTGAAAAATAAAGACTTCCTTACAGACAGGTGACAAAACGAGTGCTTTGACCTGAGGTGCAGCCTGAGCTGGGAAAGGCTTCTGGGGTCCAACATATTGGATTTAGAGGGAAATCTGCATGACTGTTTCATGGCAGGAATGAGGGGTATGGAGCTGTTCTGCCAGCACACAGTTACTGGCAATGGCAGCATGTTTAGAGTGGCTGCTGTGTGAGTCTTGGCATGCTTCAAATGATTATAATGGCATTTTGGTGAAAACTGATACAGTCTCTGTGTGTCAGTGTCCAGTGGAGGAGGGATCATTGTTTTTGGTCTCCACCAGCTCTTTTTTGACTAAACGCTTCACTATGTTCAGCATCTAGTTGCTAACTGTACCTGTCTGCTGTTTGTTGCTAGGCAGGTAGAGCTTTGGGAAGCACTTTGACTGAATCAAAATACACTGAACAAAAATATAAATGCAACACTTTTCATTTTTGCTCTGCTCAGATTTTTCATGAGTTGAAATTAAACTAGACTTTGTCCAAGGACCCCAAATATTTTTTTCTCTCAAATGTTGTTCACAAATGTGTTTAAATCTGTGTTAGTGAGCTCTTCGCCTTTCCCTAGATCATCCGTCCTCCTCACAGGTGTGATGTATCAAGATGCTGATTACACAGCATCATTATTGCACAGGTGTACCTTGGACTGCTCACAATAAAAGGCCACTTTAAAATGTGTAGATTTATTTTGAAGAAAAGACATTTATTAGGTTGGGTATTGACAGGAAGTGGATCAAGCTGTTGTACACGCTGATCCAGATCATCCCAAACATGCTCAGTGGGAGGCATGTCAGGTGACTACGGAGACTGTGCAAGGACTGGGATGTTTTAAGCTTCTACGAATTGTGTACATCGTGCTGCAACATGAGGCGATAGCGGCAAATGTATGGCACAACAATGAGGATTTCCTCATGGTATATCGTGTGTGTGTGTGTGTGTGTTTTTATCTTTTGTATTCATAGAAAAAGTCTCTGATCTTTTATTTCAACTTAAAAAATGGAAGCAGAAACAAAAGTGTTACGTGTATATTCTTGTTGAATATAGTGAAGTTACAGGCTGTTAAACCAAAACAGAAACCAGAACAGCTGATCATGTGATGGTGTAGCTGGATAGTGATGGTTAAATGTCTCCTCCTGGCTGACTGATTCTACCTCCCAAAGTTACTGGACAGTATATTTTCCAGTGACATCTTTGCACTTTGTAACCCAGTGTGATCCTGACAAAATTCTGCCTGATAAATATTTCAGACTCGATGAAAAAACAAGACTTTTGTAATGTTAATGTGTCTGATGTACCATTAAAACAAGCATTGGAGTTTGCCTCTTACTGGTTTTATATTCCCACCCCTTCATGTGATGGAGCTGGAGAGCAGAGCTGACTGCATGGGCATGACATTTTTATGATTCAGCTGATCCACAGTGGCATGAGAGAGAGAACAGAGGTTTCACACAATGAGATGACACTTTATGAGACTAGATAATTTGGCACAGACCGCAGAGCTGGCTCAGATACAGTATTTTCCATTTAACTGAGTGATGGTAAGTTTATGTAGGTGAACTGATGGGCTTCAGGAAGACAGGCTGTGACCTCCCATGCTCAGCCATTCAAGATCGTGGATAGTGCTGTTATTTCACGAGGAGGTGCTAATACAGTGATGAGCAGTGAAGAGCCAGATTACGGTATGTGATTTTACCGAGCCAGCTCCGTCCACAGTGAGTTGCAGTTAAAGCTACAGCTCCGCTGCAGGAAGCCAAGAAGTGGACCTGTGAGCTGGTACTGTCCTGTGTATGTGACAGGGAGATTATGATTTGGCAGTGGTCTTCAGGAAATAAAGAGGCAAACAGCTTGGGTGGAAGGTTCAGGGCATGACGTTGTCAGGCTTGGAAGAGCGGCGAAGAGAATGCGAAGTAAACTGAGTGTGTTAAAGGCTGTAGTAAAATAACAGTGTTTGGGGACCAGGAGGCTTTGTGGTTGACCTTCACTGTGGCTTAATTAGGAAAGAGGCAGACTATTGTGGCCCTTAGAAATACCAGGCAGTGGATGTGAAATGATTGCAGCACAGCAGCCACTATCAAGTTTACTATTTTTTGTTACACCGTTCACATTTCATGACTATTTGTTTGAAAGGTAGATAAAGACTTTAGGGTTTGTAAGAAACAGATATTTGTTCCCTAGATCCAAAACATTCTTTAAATGAATATGAAGTTTATAAAATCATCACTGACATGAAAAGCTCCCATGCAGCTGGCATAGATGAAATCTCTGGCAAAGGGCAACAAAGGATCGCCACTCCTGTCTGTTCTGGGCAAGTGTCTTTATAGTACCCAGGTATGATGTAGGTCTTCAGCTCACCCTCCACTTTTCGATGCCAGGTGTTCTTGGGCTTTTTGTTTTCTGCCCGGTATCCAGTGGAGGCTGTTTTTCAGGTGATGTTGTCCAGTTCTTTTTCAGATGACATGCCCGATCCATCTCCATCGCCTTCTCGTGATGATGGTGGCCATGTTGTCTTGCCTGCATCAGGCGAGTATAGCTGTTGGTTGGAGTTGGTATCAGACCAGAAGATTCACAGTATTTTCCTTGGTGTTGGTGCTGTATTGGGCCGAACATGCCGACAATGCTGCCTATGTTGGTGAACTCTTGAGTTAAGGGTAGTTTTGTTCCGTCTACTTGGATTGGTGCTGGGTTAGGGATGTTCAGTGTCATCAGCTCTGTTTTCTTCTGGCTGATCCTCAGACCTATACTTGCTGTGCAAAGGTGTTAAGATGGGATGTTTTCTCCTTCATGTGCTAGTGTGTGTGTTAGACAAAGGCCAAGTCATCAGCGAAGTCTAGGTCTTCCAGTGATGAGAAAAGGGTCCATCTGATGCCTCTTAGTTGGTCTTCAGTGGATCTACTCATCAGCCGGTCTATGGCTATGTTGAGAAGTAGTGCAGACATCATGCAACCTTTCCTCACTCCCATCTTGACTGCAAAACTGTATTGACCGTTTCTGACTTGACACGTGAAGTTATCATAGAAACCCCTGATTAGAAAGACAATCTGTTGCGCGAAGTATACGCACTACTTAGCAGGGTTGTGCCCTATATGATAAAGATTGCTAAAATTGTACCAGTCTACCGGCCTATATCTATATTTGTCACTCTCTCCAAAGAGAAAATTGTATTACTTAGATAAATTAAATATTCTTACTCCTTTCAGAAAATAGAGCGACACTTGTATGGTGATCCTTGAATCTCACTGAAAAAATCAAAGACGGCATCGACAAAGGCGACTTTTTTTCTCGACTTATCAAAAGCAGTTGACACCTGCCATCTGCCATCTACAACATTATGGTGTCAGAGGTACAGCGCTCTTTCAGAAAGCTGGTATGACGGGCTGGCTCGTATGTATGACAGGAAGCAACACATATGTATAAACGGTCCTAGATCTCAATTTAAAATGATCAAATGCACCAGTTAATATAAACGCACTGTCCTGTAGCTGTCTTAGCCGGTGTAAACCTGACTGATTGTGTGTTGTGTGTATGTGTGTGTTGTTATTGTTGTCCAGGAGGCCGTCATTTCTCCCGTCTCCCCCGATGTGCTGTACCTGTTTCGAGTCCAGGCCGTCTGCATGAATGACATGCGCAGTGATTTCAGCCAGAGCATGCTCTTCAGAGGTAACACACACACTAACACACACACACACACACACACACAGACCTGCTGGTAAACTGCTGCTACATTATCTCTGCATGTTATCGTAACTGTCAATGTGTCATGTACACAGCCCTCTTTCAACATGCCCTGTTTATCGCCTTATATTGTGTAACTGTAGGATCTGACAGCCCAGGTTTCCTTTGATCATAATATCACAAAATCTTTTATATTCAGGTTATTTATGTGAGCTCATATCAATAGCTGCAGGCTACAGGAGGAATAGCAGATGAAATGAAAGAAATAGACCAACAACAGTCAGTGAGATGCTCTCAGTTCATCCTGCTACACTCAGTTTACTTGCTGCCACATTAAGTAATCAGAGCATTGCCTTCATATTATGTCATGTTGTGATTAATGTGCTTGCAAAGCACTAGTGGACATCTTAGAGACACCCCTTCAACTGAAGTGTTGCCTGATAGTCTGTGCTGTGTTTCACTGTGGATTACCATGATTTGTTTTCTTTTTCTTTTTCCAGCAAACACCACCAGGATCTTTGAGGGGACGAGGATTGTGAAAACTGGAATGGTGAGCTTAAGGGAGTCACTGCTGTTGTCTTTTCACTTTTCATCCAGCAGAGAGCAGTGTCTGTGTTAGCATCATTCCTCCCTGTGTGGGCAGGGAACCAAGTCAAGTAGGCTAGTGGTCCACATGGAACAGGATAACAGGATTTTAATTATTAAATATAATTGTATCTCGAGTGTGTTTTATTTTGTAGGGAAGATAAGTCATATTACAAATCCCTTTGTGCTTCTCTGACACTATGAGAGAGCTTGAAGGCACCGTAATCACATCTGAAGCTATGCACAAACAAGTTCAAAAAATTGTTTATGCCTTAATCTTCCTTTATTTTGGCAAAAAGATCGATAAAAATACCTCAAATTAAGTGATGATACCACATAATGACTGATGTTAGAGCAGGACGATGACCACAGCATTTTTGGTTTGAATGTTTGACCTGTGACCTTTGCCTCAGCATGTTTCAAAGGAACATTAAATAACAGAAATGTGTGACAGCCTCTGGTGACCACACAGCCATTAAGAAAAACTACAAATACCTTAATCACCACTGAGCAACAATCAATGATTCTGATCAGTAACTCGTTTCTTTCACAGCCGACTGCCTCTCCAGCCTCCTCAGCTGACATGGCTCCCATTTCCTCTGGCTCATCTACCTGGACCTCGTCAGGCATCCCCTTCTCCTTCGTCTCCATGGCGACAGGCATTGGCCCATCCTCCAGCGGCAGCCAGGCAACGGTGGCATCTGTGGTGACCAGCACTTTACTGGCTGGGCTGGGTTTCAGCGGTGGTGTCATCTCCTCCTTTCCCAGCTCCGTTTGGCCAAGCCGAGCGCCGACCCATAATCCCACCTCAACGCGCCAGATCGCCAAACCCACCGAGCCCACCAAAGACGCCACCACCTCTGCCTCTGCTGTCACAGCAGCTGCAGCCAAAGATAACGGTGAAGCTGGAGGTGAGGACAGGGAGAGCAGCACGGGTGAAGGTGAGGATGGAGAGAGGGGAGGAGAGGATAAGGATGAAGAGGAGGAGGAAGAAGAAGAGAAGGATGAGAAGAAGGAGAGGAAAGGACGTGTGAGCAAAGCAGTGAGGAGGGACAACGGCACAGCGGTGAGCGAGCCACCCAGAGACACACCGGACTCCACGGCGAAGGAGAAAAAACAGACTGCACCAGATCCAACTAAAGTGAGGCCTGGTGTAGAAGACCAGCTGCAGGTGTATGCCCGCAATCCACTTGACTCTAACCTCACTACCACCACAGAGGCATCCAATGAAACAGCAGCATTCCCTGCAGCAACACTCAGACCCAGCACAGGGAGGGACAAGAAGCACTGGCCTTTCTCCATCCACAATGGTGAGTCAGCTGAAGCTTCAGCCTCATGTAAACATTAGCTTCGAGTGAGGTGAGAGTGACCAACTTTCTCTTTCTTTCACTAATGTGATCACGTGTCATAATAAATATTCCAACTTGTGAGGCCTCCTCCAAATGTCCTGAGTCTGTTTAAGGAGTCCCAAATATCTTCTGATGAAATAAAATAAAAGGTTAAGGTCCACAGTGAGCATTCAGAAGGTCCTTAGAAGTACTTGTTTCCTTATCAAATGTTCTCTAGCCAGACTACTTGAAGGAAGCCTTAAAAATGAAAAAAATAGAAGACCGGGTCTGAAGCTCATCTACTCTTCCGCATTGAGAAACCCAGATCAGGCCTTGAGCCCCGCCCACCACCTGCTTGCTCCAGGTGGACAGGTGAAAGAGCAGAGAGTATCAAGATGGTTAGAGGAGGAAACATCAGAGAGACTCAGCCACATGTTTGAGCCTCAGTCAGACCCAGACTCAGATGAGGAGTCTGTTGAGACCAGAACCAGAGACTAGCAGATGGATCAGAATGGTTAGCTAATTAGCATCTTTTATTTGTTTATGTTGTTTGTTAGCTTGTAACTGGCAGTGGCTGACACAGTGTTAGTGGTTGTGCTAATTGTACAAGGTGGAAATACTCAGTCATGGTGCTGACTGATTATTTCACTCATCATATGTCTGTATTATATGAAACATCATATGGATGTTAACAAGGACTTGACTTTCATCAGAGGGGGTCTTTAAAAATGAAACCATCCATCCAGCTGTTGAATATTTATGGATCCACAGACTCTGTTGTCAACATGACATCACACTGACAAAATATAATGGTCATATCTGTAAGTGTTAGATGGACTTAAATCACCCTCACTGATTTTATGTACCTCAGTGTGGTAAGGCAGTGAAACTGCAAATAAAGTTATTATATCACAGATGTGACACAGAGTAATAAACTCTCTTTTTATTCGTTAGGTGATGTTTCCAAATGGTCCCAAGAGTGAAAAGATGTTCAGATTCCACTGTTGCTGCTTTCTGATTTCAGTGGAAAGTATCAGGAAGCTTTAGAAGACTGGCTCTGCTGTGATCACTATGTCCTCTGTTGCCTCCTACAGGTGTGAGGGCAGTTGTGATATAATTCATGAGTTTTGGAAGTTTGTCTACAAAACAATAATACATTTAAGGAATTGGATCAGTGATCAGTGAAATGACCATCAAATGAAGGTCAACAGCTTGTGTTTAAGAGTTGGTAGTTAGCTGATAGATGTGTTGTATGCAGGGTAAAGAGTGGTACTGGCTTGCATTAAGGCCTTTACTCTATATCCAAAGGCCTTAATATGTAGATGAATTGCATTACTGTAAAGTGATAACAGAGTTCCAGCAGGAGCTGAGAGCAGCCCCCCCCCACCCCCACCCCCCCGCACACACACACACACACACACACACACAACCCCTCCGAGACTTTCAGCAGGGTGAGACATCAATTCAATTTCAAGTGCTTTAAAACACAGTCTAAGTGCAAGGCCAGACATTATTATGAACAAAAGCAGTCCTCTGATATTCCCCAGAAGTGCCTCCCAGTCTCTTTGACAAAGCACGTTTAGCACATTTTATTCTGCTGGAGCTGGAGGGACTCAAGGGCAAATGCTTAAAAGTTGTTGCTTAACTTTGTAAAAGTAGCAACTGTGTACATCCTGCTCAGTGCTTCTGTTGTAGGAGTGTTTTTATTCTGAGTGCAGTGCTTCAGAGTGCATCGAGGCTTATGAGCCTATGAGCTACAAACAAGTACAAACTACAACTACATATCCCAGTTTTCAAAACAGAGAGATGTTAACTAATCTCCCAACGACGTGTCAGGCTCTTTTCTGAACATCTACTCTATGGAAGACTATCTCAGTGTGGGTAATAACTAAATATAGATAAAAAATATGGTGAACAGGTCATGTCATATTGAATTATATGTTACGTTTAGACAACTTTGATTGGATACACTTTTAACTCAGTCTGAGTTATCTGTATACCAAAATACTGATCCCCATTTACAACAAGGATGTATGCACAGCAGTGGGGTAAAAAGTGCCTTTCCATAATCTTCATATAGATTATATATGTACATCCTCACTATTCTGGCTGCAAACCTGTCAAATTACTGCAGAGAGGTAAATTTGTATATGACACACCCTTGCACTGTAAACCTGTTTTTTAACCACACACCTTTAATAGACATCTTTCAGCTCTGGCAGCAAATATGATGAGTAGCCTAATTACAGCTAACAGTTACAATAATGCCAACACGGACCACACAACGTTACTTCCACAGGTAGAGAGAAATTACCTTTGTATTCCAAAACACAGAATTTCCCCTTACACAAAGTTACTCAGCATAAAGAAACTCTTGTTAGCCTGCTGTTTGCCTGCTTGTACTGCATCTTATTTTTTTAGCATGTATGAAAATCCTGCTCTTTCCTCAGAATGTACCAGACAGTGGAAATCTAAACAGGCAGAGCTTCACTGCTGACAAACTGTGTCAATACAGGATTTAATCAATGCTAACAGTTAACCAACAGGCAAAAACAATCAATCAGTAGCTAACTATTTGGCTTAGTTCATGAAACTACACCCTGAATTACTCTGAAAATTTTGTTACTTCGGTGTACTTATGGTAAAAAGAAACTGTCTAGCTCCTTGGGTTACTCAACTCTCTGAAAATGGTCTTTTTAGCAAATCTCTTAACTGTTAGCCTGCAGACTCATTCAGCACGGATGTTAACAGTTAACCAGCAAGTAAAATAACTGAATAAATAGCTAACTGGGGTTAGCTAACACTAAGTCAAAGTTAGCTTGAGTGTCATGTCTTCAAGTTCATGAAACTACACCCTGAACCACTCAGTCACTGCAAGTCACCTGGGGATGGCAAATCTGTTAACTGTTAGCCCACAGGCTCATTTAGCACATATGCCAACTGCCAACAAGATGTTAATATGCAACTAGCTACAATTAAACTAGCTTCCGGAAACAGTACAAATATGCTACTAGATGTGTTATGACTGCAGTTTTTTTTATTTTTTTTTATTGAACAACGTGGAGCTTGTTTCATCATTTTGGCCACTTTCCTACTGGTTAGAAGAACAGTTGACTTTTTTAATGGCTGATATCAGACATTAGATTCCATCACTTCCAAATGATCCTGATGAATATTTTCTGGAAAAGAAAGTAGTTAAATACTTGGTTTTGTTGCATGTTAGGTGTGAGAGAAAGACTACTAAATTAGTTAAATAATACAACCTAGTTCTGACATAAAGTGCTGCCTTTAAAACATGTACCTAGATATTAAAAAAATATATATATATATTTTCAAGTATCCACCCAAACTGTCTGATGATCTCCAAAAAAAAACAAAACACATGCATTGAAAACTATGCTAAGTAAAGTTAAGTTAGGTCAAAGCTAGGACTCAGTAGCACAGTAGTTTTGTGACACTTGTATATTATTCCATTACATTCACTAGATGACAGAGCTACTAGTTATCCTGCAGATTAAGATTTTACACACAATAATATGCAATGCTGGACCAAACTACCTCATACAAAGTAGTCTAAAGCAGTTCCACTTTGACCAGAACTACTTGAATGCTTCAGTAACAATATGTCATTGATATAATAAAACATGACAGTCTAAAAGGGGCCACTCTGTGCAGTGAGTATTACATTTTACTCCAGTAAAGGATCTGAATACTTTTTTCCACCACTGTGAGACTGTCAACTTGTTTATTACCCTCAGTCCACCTCAGTGATGTTGTGGAAGTGGTTACAGTGGGAAGTCAAGGCAGATGATACCCACTGTCTGTGAGGCCACACAGCGGGGACCCTGACTCAGCAGCCTGTGGAATTAGGTTGTCAAAGCTACAGTCGTAGAAGTGGAAACAGAAAAACGAAGTGGTTTATCTCCACTGCTCCTGCAACCCCACACCCCCCTTTCTGCTGATCAAACTTTATCCCTTTTTTCTCCTTACTTACCCATCTCTTCTTTTAGTCCATCCTCTCTTCTCTTCTGCCCCACTAAACCCCCCCCCCCCCCCCTTCCCTCATTCCTCCACCAGCCCCTTCATCCTCTCTGCCTCTCCTCTCCTTGCTCTGATCTGAGTGCTGGCCTACTTTCAGACACGGCGAAAGGAGATGAGGCTTGGAGGCCAGATTCAGCTGCAGGGGAGAAAAAAAAGCCTCTGCTCCATTTATAGTTACGTGTGTGTGTGTGTGTGTGTGTGTGTGTGTGTGTGTGTGTGTGTGTGTGTGTGTGTGGTGTGTGTTCGATATGTATGCACATTAGTGACTGGCTCTGTGTGTGTGTGTGTGTGTGTGTGGTGTGTGTTTGATATGTATGCACATTAGTGACTGGCTGTGTGTGTGTGTGTGTGTGTGCTCTGTGTGTGTGTGTGTGTGTTTGTGTGTGTTATGTATTTGCATGCTGCTGGTGAAGGTTTTTTTAATTTTATTTTGGCACACTGCCATAATCATAAGACAAAAGCAGAGGGAAAAGAGAAGGGAAAGAGGCAGACAGTAGTCTACACCGTGCATGTGTGTGTATGTGTGTGTGTGTGTGTGTGTGTGTGTGTGTGTATGTGTGTGTGTGTGGATATGAGGGAGGAGATGCAGAGTGAGTGGGGATGCAAGCCAGCTGTGGTGCAGTGCAGGGGCCCGGCCTGATGTAATGTTCGGCTCCAGGCAAAGCTGCAGATTGAAGGCCATGGGGGCCGGCGTCAGCTCCAGCAACGTCACGGCTGCAGCAGCTGAACTGGGTAGGTGGTGGTGGTGTTGGTTATTAAGCGACCTAAAAGCAAATTGGATTTAACAAATGTCTCAAATTATCCAGAGCCATGTGTTGTTGTGATGCTGTTATCTGGCTGCACTTCCTCAAACAGTGAGCATAGCGTGCAGAGCTCAGGACAGGGAGGACTAACTGGGAACTGGTTTAGCTGTCTGTACTAATCTGTATTCTATTTATGTGATGGTTTGTATTTGTTGCAGCAGTTAGATGAAGTTAAAGGAACAACCTTATGTTTTTGAAAAATAAGCTTGTTTGCTGTCTGACCCAGCAGGAGATACTGAACTGTTACATCACTGTGTGTCCCGTGCGGTGACACAGTGGGTCCACGTCTTTAGCCTAGCTTAACAAATAAGCCTTGTCCCAGTGTGCACTGCACTGAACAGCAACGTGAAACAATCAAACTTTGGAACATTTCTCCCGATGTGAAATCAGGAATCCTAACATGGAGAGAAGTTAAAAGTCTTTCTAAAGATTTCATACCTTTTCAGAGCCTGTCTCACAAGTGTTTGTTTATTTTTTTCCCCAGCTGTTAGTTGCTCTTCATTTCCTTTGTGAATTGTATTTTTGTGGTTTTAGAATTCATAATTACACCTGATTTCACGGACTGTTTGGGTCTGGACATGATAACTATTTCCATTGGTTTGAGAAACAATGGACCAATCAGAGCTGTGTAGCCAGGATTAAGAATGGAGGTGTCTTTTTTCCTACATTGTTAGATATAGATGAAAAATAGCTAAAGAAAAAATGCCATTTGCAACATATTGGTGGGTACACGGATGTCCGCGAACCCTAGCGGACCTATAGCATAATTGCAGATGCATAAAGGTAACACTAGCCTGAGTCAACTGATAGTGATACAAAACGTAGGAATTGAACTCTTACCACAGCTTCTGGGTCATCTCATAGTAACACGACTGATTGCTCAGGCCACAAGCTTAACAAAAAACAGCCTCGCAAAGTCAGGATGAATAAATGATTAAATAGATGACAATTTGTTCTGTTTCCCAGGCTAATGTGAGAGCTCAACAACGACTTCAACTTCAACAACTCTACAGCTGTCAGAATACATTTCCTAAAATGTCAGACTATTCCTTTAAAGAAGATGGGATATCATTGTGCCCTGTTCTAATGGTCTCTCTAGTATCACGTACAGCAGCTTTGCAGGTTTTGAGGACTGCCAGCTTGTGGCCGTTCTCACATTCAAAAATTCAGTTTTTGAGACCACAACAACCAGACACATCACACACTTTTTCACTCTGAGAGCTACTTTACAGCTACTAGTTGAGAGCTCCTCAAGTCTCATATTACTGGTCACATGTAGTCACATATCATATCAAAACACTCAAACTGATCTCCAAAACAAATCAGATGAATAAGATAATTTAACAAGTCCTCAAATATAAATGTCCAACATCATATTTTTACCAAAAACACCTGAAAATCACATCAGATAGAAATCATGATTCAGTCAGACCTGAACACACAGACATGAAAACACCACTGTAAATAAAGCTCCATGAATGCTTAGAAACAAGAGAAAGAAGAAGCCAGTGATCAGTGATAGTTGTCAGGACATCAATGGTACGTAACAACCAGGAACTTAAAAAAGATCATTCACTACACTTCATTTTCCACAATATAAATATTGGCTAAAAAAAAGGGGGATCAAGCTGAAGCCCACAGTTTAACTCACTGTATCCATGGCAACATATTTCCTGTTTGTTGGAAAAGTTTAGTTTATATCTGCTCTGGTACCAGAAGAGTCGCTCTCACTGCATTTGGCCTTTTATGGAGCATAATATTTGTGTTGATTTTTACATAACTGTATTCAGAGGTCAACTTATGTTTGTTGCAACTGCTTCTAGCACTTGATCAGCAGCACACAATGACAAAAACAGGGACTTACATATATGTCAACTTTTATGTAAAATGGTACAGTAAATTTTCTTTGTACAGCATTTGTATATTTTACTCACATGTTAGTCTATGTAGGCAGACATACTGCATATTGTTACCGCCCATCAGAATTTCAGACTCAGATTTTTTTAATAAAACATTTGTATTGACTTTGATTTCCTGTCTTTTCAAGATAATAGAAGACAGACAGAAGTGGTACTTCACCCTCCATCCACCTCTTCAGCCTTCTTCTATGTCACATCCTCACTCCTCCTCTCTGTCCACACAAAGTGCCTCTGGACTTCTTTCCCTCACAAATTTCTTCATCTTTTTTTTTCCAGACCCCAGTGTGGTGACCAATCTGACGGGCCAGGCGAGGCCTGGGTCTGGGGCAGGGTTGGGCCGTGTGGAGTGGTTGGTACCTTTGGTGGTGGTCTCAGCTCTAACCTTCCTCTGCCTCATCCTTCTGCTGGCTGTGCTTGTCTACTGGAGGTGGGTACAACGGCACAATCCCTTGTAAACTACTTTTGAGTTGGTGGTGGTCTGGAGGCTGGAGAGGTGGGTGGATGACTGGTTGTATGTGTGATGCATTTGTTTATGGTCGAAGACGGTACACCTTGATACATTAGAAATACTGAGAGGAGAAAAACATGGACACCTGCAGTGAAATGCTTAGCTGCTCACAAGCACCACAATTTTTTCTTTTTAGCTTTAATCAAATACAGAGTCTTTTTTAGCAAGCCTCTGATCCACTATAGCATCTGTAACTTATGAGTTTGCTGAATGCTAACAAAATAATCATTGCTAAAATTGTTGGTAAAAATAGTGACACACTCAAATGTTGATATGCTGACAGAAGTATTGGTATGTTTCAACTTTTCAGAAAGTTCAATGAAAAAAAATCCTCAATGAGAAAACCCATTCAGCTACAGAAGGCAGCTATGACAGGACTGTCCTCGGTATCATTAATGTCAAGGTTGGTTAATTGATTTAAGTCAAACTAGCAGAAAATGTAACCCGGAGAGTTACCATACAGTTATTTAAATTTTGACTGTACAGGAAGCTGTTTTCATTTTACATAAGCTGTAGATTGACAAAACATAATGGGCCAACTTTTCTATTACATACAATACATTTGGCATAGGGAGGTAATGATACCAGGAATCCGGTAGTTGGTACCAATACCAATGAAAGTCAGTGTTATATTTTAACAGAACTTTGATGACTGCAGCTGCTAATGTGAGCAACCAGCTCATGTTATGAGCTGTTGCTATATTAGCCTAAGCAAGCTAACATTAGCCTCTGTGAATGTTGTGTGTGGAGCGTTGCTACAACAGATGTCAGTGGTCACAGTTCACAACATTTCAGGACATGAACATGTTGACAACATGTTTATTGGTATAAAGTGAACAACTTAGACTCATCAGTTTGAGCTCTGTGTACAGATCTGATGTCCGTCTCTGAGCTGCTCATGACAGAGACATTTTACTGACATTATCTGTCAAAAATAAATAAGAAATGAATCAATAATGAAGAGAAATCCAACATTCCAGTAACCTGCAAACTCTACAATAGAGCTGCAGCAGCAGCAACACAGCAAAGACACATGTGCTTCTCCACATCAGCTCAGCGACGGTGGCCGCCACGCCCACACAACACAGGCGTAAGTTTCTAATTCCTATTCTGTATCACATGACATACAGTAAATATTCAGCATCTGCTTGTTCCAACATTTGGGTAAAAAATATTTAAACATGAGATCAAGTGGGAATATTGTAGATGTATTGTGCATAATATTTATTGGCAGCTCCACTAGAGTTATGTGGATTTGATGTGATGCTTGGCCACACAACATGGGTTTGAAATCAGGGATTGTTAGAGAAATAGTGCACAAAGTAAAAGTGCCCTCTGTTTTTTGCACTGCTGAGTGCTGGTAGTTGTGAAACCATGTCACCGGTCTGATCGTTGTGATGGATTATTTGTTGTAGACAAGTAAATCAGATTCTGAGACAGAGCTTGTCCTTAAGCAGAAGAGTTATGTTTGGAAAACTTACCCATAATACAATGAAGGGAATTTCACAACCAACAGCTTGTTTTATTCAGCATATCTAGTCAATACATGAAGGAGGTAAGAGGAGGAAAAGATTCATTGACATGATTAGAGTCACAGTGCAGGTTTTTAGTCTGGGTGTAAATGAACGTCAAGGGCACATGTTATAATACAGAGCAGTGAGCACAGGATGATAATTCACAGCAAGATAACACTTTATAAAGAACACATGACGGTTACAGATTCTTCCCACTGCTGAAGGACATTTCACATTTTCCTCCACATTATTATACAAGTGATAAACACTCAAAAAACAAAACAATAATCTGAAATGTCGCCTTGAAATTATTCTTTTTGAGATACGACTTGAACATAAATTTAAAGAATGTTGTGTAATGATAGAACCATGCCTGGTGTGTGTTTTTTTTCCTCCTGAAGATATGAAATGTACAGTCTCGTGCACAGTCATACATCATACACTGATGACTGTAAATCCTTTATCCAAGTGTTGGGCGGTATTGTGTGCTCTAGCAGGGAGTTCATACCAGAGTAAGAGCCCTTTATTCCAGCAGCCTTCTGGTATTATCTTCATCAGATGGTGATTATATAACCAGTGATAAGTAGCTAAATCATGTTAGACAACAGCAGCATGGTCCTTTATGAAATCTGGAACACACAGCAAATCATTGGTGGCGTGTGAAGAGAGACACAGCGTGATAGTAAGGGACACTGACACACACATCACATGGTGTTAAACTTGGTGCCTGACAAACACCAAACTCCATTATTGTCCTGTATTTCTCATATTGTATGAGCTCTGCTGAGACTGACCGGAATCCAGTTTGCCTTAAGGGTTCGTATTGAGAAAACTGTTGGTGTACAAGTGCTGAGAAATTGTGCATAACCCTCTCACACACACACACACACACACACACACACACACACACACACACAAGCCTGGCAACAGGTGCTAGGGGTGTGTTTGGGTATTTAATCCTATTGTGGAGCAAAGCTTAGGTCACAACCCCGTGTTCTGCAGAGACTCCACTCCCACTGCCGTCTTATTGGCAGCAGTTGGTGCCGCCCACAAACTGCCAACAAACTGTTGCTCTGCTGCGTTCAGGTCTGAGACGTAAATATGAGCTTCTTAACGGAAAAAAACGTTATAATATTGACAGTAAATGATGGAAGGACACACGTTGGACCTTAGCTGGGAATGTTATAGCAACAGATGCAAGATATTTAATCACTGCATTTGAATGGTATTCAACAGCACCAGGACCCACAGGACTGTTGGGTAGAAGTGTTTGGTTGCAGTTGCAGAAACATGTTATGAAGTGTTCGGCTTGGTTGTGACAGAGCATCACTAATAAGTCATCCCAAATCCTAAGTGTATGATGCAAACAAGTGTGAAATCCTGTCATTTCTCAGAACCATGGCGTGATTCTGTCAGCTTTGTCCCGTGTGATTTGAATGCAACATGACACCCAGCTATCTCACACCAGGAAGTGGCACAGGCTTGACCAGTGTTTGAGTGTTTGTCTGTGTGTGTGTGTGTGTGTGTGTGTGTGTGCGTGTGTGTGTGTGTGTGTGTGTGTGTGTGCGTGTGTGTGTGTGTGTGTGTGTGTGTGTGCGTGTGTGTGTGTGTGTGTGTGTGTGTGTGGGTGTCACACACAGAGGGAACACCCCCCCTTCATGCCTTGTTAGGAAAGCCCTCCCTCTGTCTTCCCTCCCCCTGTCCCCCTGTCTCGGTGCTCGGGCTCAGTTCAGGTCGGCGGCAGCATGTGGCAGCTCGTCTGCTCCCTCTCCTCTGCTCGTTCACCAGGATGAATGCCCTCTGCTCTCTGCTCTGTATCAAATACAGGTAGGGAGGGTCTGGACATACACACACACACACACACACACACACATGCAGGGAGTGTTGAGGAACTGTTGTTGTCACTGGAAGCTGTAGATAGTAGATAAGAGAAACTGTCCGTGGAGTTTGTTTGTGCCAGTCCTTTATGAAAGCAGTGAAGTGCACAGGTATAGGGCAATAGGTGTGTTTAAATTTCAAGCGTGTTTAAATTTCAAGCGTGCAAACAAATATGAGTGTGTGCTTCCATCAGCTGCTGTTAGGTTACCTGGAAATTCTCCAGGAGGTGCACGAATACTGAATCAGAGTGTTTCTGTATTTCTGGTAAATCACTGCTGTTTGATTCTAATATGGGATTTATGTCACTGTCATGAATGATCTTTTCTTCCTCAGCAAAAATTTTGATTCTGTATTTTATGTTCTGCATATTGTTGGCTGAATGGAGGTATAGTAATAGATTGCAGCAGGGATGATGTATTTTTGTAGTCCAACCTTGAAGTTAGCATCACTCTGGTTCCCTCCATTGTCTTTTGGATTATTACAGAAAATAAACAACAGTTTCTGATCCTGACAGGTTTAGTTCAGTAGGATCATCTTCACTAATGAACACCACTTGATGATGTTTGAAGCCAAAATACAGTCAGCAGAAGTAAAAAGCTGATGTTAGGCTTTAACCAACTACACCACGGTCACATGACTTCAACATCACAGTCACATGACTTCAACATCACCACCACTAAACTTCAACTTGTAGTTTGATTTATCTCTGACCTCTTCTAGAGAAGCCTTTCCCCTGACAGAGTTAGTGACAGTTTGTAGAAACACAACGAGGCTGTGAAGGTGGACTGGTGAGAAGATCAGTTTTCATGTTCATCGTGATGATGTTTAACGTCCCCGACAACCTCTGTAGTCTCATTTAGACACTTGTTAGCAACTGAGACGTAAAAGCTTCATGAAATCAGGAGTGGGATATTAACTGACTGATTTTATGTTGTAGAATTGAACGTGAAAATGCCTTGAGCTTGTGTTTAAACCACAGACATTATTTCAGTCATCTCACCAAAAACCCAGAGACTTCAGGAGGAGAGAACAGGAAGAGCTGATATGCAACTTATTTCCAGGTGTTAAGACTCGATCCTGCTGCACTGGATTTGGAAATCAGGTTCCATCATCATTCATTCAACAAGGCTTCATTTCTATATGATCAAAGATGTGATTCGTTATTACTTTCAGAAGTTACTGAGATGACAGTTTTCTGATCCTCCACCTCTGTGGTTCAGGTCTGGTTATATCCAGGCAACTAAAATCACTTGTCACTCTGTCATCCTCCATTCCTGACAGACAAAAACCTTTATTTCTGGTGTTTCCATTTAGGTTTATGATGCACAGACTGAACAACACGGAACAGCAACTCAGATACTGTAGTTTAGGTATTATTGCAATGGATTCATATCGTGTGTGTTTAGTGTGGCATCTGGTCAGCTGAAGAAGGTTACTGAAAGGCTTTCAAAATCAAACCCTCCTGAAATACACTCCTTCCAGAACCAGCTCAGTTTCAACAGGTAACCTGTCTGGTTTGGGTGGTAACACAAAGTTAAATTTCAACAATAATATAAAGGCAGAGAGGCTGTTTGTTAGAAATAGAAACCGATCTCATCTGCAGACTAAAAGTTGTCTCCAAGCTGCCTTATAGTTGGATGTAAATGTAGCTGGTCGACGTCTTTCATGTTCACTGTGTCTGGATTTTTACCTTCTGAGTATGTTTTCAGAGAGAGAGAGAAGTGACAGCTTTCATGCTTCCTCCTGTTGTATCTTAACTCCAGTTTGTCTCTTAATGCCTGATGCAGATCTGCATTAAAAGCAGTTTGATGTAAAACATCACACTTGTGAACTGTCAGCGTCTCAGACTAAAAACACAACGGGAGACCTGCTGATACGTCTGCTGCTGAACGCCTCCTGTTTGACAGCTTCTACACACAGTATATGCAACTTCAAACACACCTGGAGTGAGTGAGTGAGTGTGTGTGTGTGTGTGTGTGTGTGTGTGTGTGTGTGTGTGTGTGTGTGTGTGAGCTACAGTACATACTGTAATGCTTTGACATTTGACAAAACCAGAAAGTAAAAGCTTAAGACTGTGCGTGAAAATGTCTGTGTGTGTTTGCGTTTGTGTGTGTGTGTGTGTGTGTATGTGTGTGTGTGTGGTTAAAAGTTCATTTCTGCCATCTGTTTGCTGACAACTGCCATGAAGAAATCTGCATTCTCTCTGTCTTTTCACACACACACACATACACACACACACACACACACACACACACACACACACACAGATTTGTTGAGCGAACAGTACAAATAACAGCCAGATATTAATTATAGCTGCAGACTCACCGCTTGACCATCTAGAGAACGTCTTTGTCAATTTCAGAAGCATTTGAATGAAGACTTGTGGAGATACTGATGTTAACTGATTTTGCATATTCTGAAAAATACAGAGTGAGTCTTTCAACAGTTCAGTGGATAACCAGAACTAATTTTGCCTCTGTAGGACGTTTGGGTGATTTATTGTGATTTTTTTATTGTGAATCTTTGAAGGTAGAAAGGTCACGCCCACTTTAATCAGTCATTACCAAATGGACTGAGTAATGGTCTTACATCATGCAAACCAAATTTTGTATGAATCCATACAGACATTTGCAAGATATAAACTTTCAGTATTAATTAATTTATTCAAAAAAATATGTCGCTTCTGAATCTGAGCATTATCCAGCCAGTGAATTACGTTTCCTACAAAACATACTTTCTGTTGCACTTTACTTGTATAGAAATGTAATGTAAAGCAGACAGAGCTGGAAGACAATAAAGGATCCTGCTTAAGGTGAAGGACTACTGTTTTGACCTCAGTTGGGAACTTCAGCAGAGCTGGAATAACTGAGACACAGGAATTAATAAAACTCTACATATGTAAATAAAATGAAATGTCTCTGTCTTTGTTCAGACGCTGTTTCCAGACAGCTCATTTCTACGTGGAGGACAGCAATTCACCCAGGGTGGTGCCCAATGAGACGATCCCCGCCATCCCCATCCCAGGTAACGGCTCCTCACCTGTACTGTATCATGGCCGCGCCTCATTTCCATCTGTCCACTGTATGTTTGTGCAGTGTTGCTGAACAGAGTAAGTCATGTGGCCGTCCACTCTGTGGGGTCATAGGTCAAGGCTATTCTTACAGCAGAGGTGGGAGAGGTCACAAGCTGGTGTTAAGACCTTACTGGTGTCACCTTCCATTGACCAACCAGCCTGGAGAAGCACCAGCATCCAAACTGGGGCCGGCAAAACCACATACAGTGTGGATCTGTGTAAGTTTAAATACAAAGAACATATTTGCTAGTGCTTGGGAATTCATTCATTCCTTCATTTTCTACCGCTTATCCTCTAGTAGGGTCGCGGGGGGGCTGGAGCCTATCCCAGCATCCTTTTGGGCGAGAGGCGGGGTACACCCTGGACAGGTCGCCAGTCCATCGCAGGGCAAACACACAGAGACAAACAACCATTCACTCTCACATTCACACCTATGGTCAATTTGGAGTAACCAATCAGCCTAGTCCCCATTTGCATGTCTTTGGACTGTGGGAGGAAGCCGGAGTACCCGGAGAGAACCCACACAAGCACGGGGAGAACATGCAAACTCCACACAGAAAGACCCCGCGTCCGAGCCGGGACTCGAACCCGGAACCTTCTTGCTGTGAGGCGACAGCACTAACCACTTTACCACCGTGCCGCCTTGCTTGGGAATATATAGACTAATTTTATGAGTAAAGTTAAGAAAGCTTATCATACACACATCCAAATATCTGTGGAACAGCTCATCTACTGTGAGGGTCAGACAAATTGAGAAAAGAAATGAAAAGACTAAATTGACTAAATTTTTAGGTCTGACAGAAACCCTCATCACAAGCTGTGGCTGTGAGGGAGAGAGAGGCCATGGCCAGTTCACCAATTACAAAACACAGTAACACACACATACACAAAATCTTTATAGGGCTTGGAATCTGCTCTCTGGCTCTCCAGTTCAGGTCTCCAGGGCCAAGATTTGGATCCAAACCTGTCAAATTCAATTAAAAAGCTTTTGGGGCCTTTGTACAATGGGCCTTGGCTCAGTCCAAAGGCATTCATTAACACCAGGTCCACGATGGCAGAGTCCAGCGCAGACAAAAAGAGCTTCTGTCATGCCCCCCCCTGCAGGATCAGGCTCTACAGAGCTGCAGGTAGCTCAACGCCCTGTGTGCACATCAGAGTCCTCTGCAGCACACGGGGACGTGGTGTCTGGCCATATGTCAGCTGTGTTAATTGTCTCAAAAAGCTCAGACTTAGAGTCTCACACGATCCGGAATCCTCTTTGAGACCTCCTGCTGCAGCCGGCAGCTTCTTACCACACACCCCACCCCTCCCTTAACACACACACACACACACACACACACACACACACACACACATATATACAAAACATTACAGATGTGTTAAACCTTTCTATGAGGAAGGGACAGGGCAGATCCACGTCTTAGTAAGCAATATGGTGATAGTCAAATGCTGCTAATTTGGTATTTGTACTTACAAACTTGACCTGGGAGTTTCTCAGTATATTTACTAATTTACTCTCCAAAGAATTAGTTTAAAATCAATCATTAGATTCACAAACTACCAAGAGAAATACCGGGTGCTCGCAGTTATGCCCTAGTCAGTTTCCGTGTAAATGCAAGGTGTTCTTGAAGTTGAAATGGTTAATATAGACAAAGGGAAGCTACTGGGCTATAGTCAAGGATGTAGCTTAAACGCCTTTATTAAGTTAGTAATTTGTTATGTAACAAAAAAGGTTTCTATTACCACAGGGTCTTCCTCAGAGCGTGGTTGGAGAGAGAAGTAAACCAGAGCAGAGTGTCGTGTTTCATCATATAGACAGATCTCACCAGCATATCATATAAAATATTACAAGTAGGCAATGTAGACAAGAAGATATTAATTACCATCATAATTATAATCAATAAAACATCAGAAATGAAAAGATATCAACCGTTTTTAAAAAGTAAAGAAATGGGTAAGCCAGTTTATAAGAATTATATTTTAGACCTGGCAACACTGAAGCATCAAATTAAAAAATCCAATAAGCCTCTCTCTGAAGTAATTTACTGAGATGATCACCTCCAACCATTAGATTAATTGATATTTGAAATGTAATGATGCAGACGTGTCGTTGGGGAAGAATAATAATACTGCATACGTGATAAAAGTTATATAAACAATGGTGTGTTCAGAGGGAGCTGTCAGGGTCAGGTGGCTCTGAAGACCACGAGTCTGAAATGTAAAAATGTGGCGGTGTGGAGTCCCCTCATGGTCAGAACGTCAACATGTTGACAGGCGTCGCAACTGCTGTGATCCCATCTTGAAATTGTGGTTTATTTTCAGCTGAGTAATATGTATTTTATTGTGAAATACTACATCAATACAGCCCTAACTGATAATGGAAGTAATTATTAGATGCAGCTTTAGTTATTGTGGCTGGTATCTTATATAAAGGGAACCATATGGCTAAGTTTACTGAGGATAGAGGTTTAGTCATGGTTCTTTATTTTTTGTGTTTTTCTGCTATTATCTGTTTGTATTTTACGACAAAAGAACAAATTTATTCGACACAGACCGTGTCTGTACTGTACTGTTTGTAAAATATGTCAAAGCAATAAAAAGAGATTGGCTCAGTTCTCAGCGGAGCTAATTGGTTTTTCCAGACCTCTCAGCAGCCTGCTGTGTTTACTGACACACAAATAATTTTGACATATTTGCATACCTAAATGAACGTCTCGTAAGACACAAAGCGAGAGCGAACAAGTGTATGCTCCGGTTAATATTTGATGAAGACTAAACTGAAGGAAGCTGTGAGAGAGCATTAGCTGTTGTGTAATATTTTGCATCCAGGTCGAGTTCAGCTCTGAAGAACGACTGCAGCTGTTTGCCCTCTGATGAAACAGGCTAAAAGCTCCCAAAGCTACAAAATAAATCATAGCAATAAAAATACTAAGCAAGCTTTCTCGTGTACTTATAATTGTGGTGATGCAGGGGAACTGAAACGTTCCTGAGCTTGCATTATTGAACTGAATGACACTATTGAAGGGAATGGATTTACTCAAAGCACCACTTGGTACCGTGACTGCTGCTATTAGTCTATTACCATAGTACACCTGGGGTATTCAACAAAGAAAACACTGAATGTAAATAAATACTAATATGGCCTTAAAAAAATTAAACATGTGCGTCAGCGTGTCCAGTATCATCCCCACACAAACATACTACCTTCTCCTGTTGTGGTCTGATAAGGCTGAATAGACATTTGTTGCAGGCAAACATCATTTCCCGTAGACTACAACACATGAAGGATACTGGCAGTAGCTGGCTGAAAATTCTCACCACAACATCCACTTTGTAGTTGTTGAGGAGCATTTGATGATATCACATGATTTTCATCAGCTGATGGAGTTTTAGCAGCTGTCATCGGATTGTAGATGTTCATAATTCTGTTTTCCTGGGCACCTTAAAAAACGTCTTGCTTAGAAAACTAAGCAACAAGAGAAGGAAACAGCTACTAAATGGACCACACAGGGAGATTATTCTCTCAGCTGCTGTTGCCAAGGTTAAAAATGAACTTTCAACTGAGAAAAATTTGAACAGTTGAACATCTTCAGTAGCATCTTGACTGCATTTGCTAAGGAGGATTGTGTGATACAATTGACCTTGATTCAACATAGTTTTCTCCCGCAGTCAGACATCACCATCTCTAACTGAAAGAACGTGGTGGTGTTGTGGAAATATTACATTTCTAAATTTCTAAACCACCAAAATCAGTTTCTCATAAATCTGAGGTGAGGAATAGATGATGATTTGACAAAAATAGTGGTGTTGTGTACTTCACCTTTATTTGTGCTCTGTTTTTATAATATGCTGATGTCCAACTTACGCAGGCAATTCCAGACATTGTAGTTACTGTTGCTCTTGTCTCTTGCAGATGACATGGACGCCATCCCAGTCAAGCACTTCATCAAACACGTCACTGAGCTCTATTCAAATAACCAACATGGATTCTCTGAAGACTTTGAGGTAAGCATCTAATTATTCTGAAACTCTACTGATTTTTTCGTCACTTGGAGGCATCAGAAAAGAAGTTGTTAGGGTTGTTGATTATTTTTACATCCAGCAGCTTGAGAGCAACATTATCATTCATTTGTTGTTTCTGTCCATTTGATTAATCTTAAGTCCAGCATTCCCTCTCTTCTATCTCTGTTTTTGGTCTCCACCAGCTTCCAAGACAAGTGAACCCTTTCACACTGTCAAACAGTTTCACTCTCATCGATACATTTTTATTATAGGAATATTAATTGCTGCTTTATGTATGCTTTATTTTATTTCTCCAATGTCCATACAATCCGTCACAAGACATCACCAAAGACCAGACTATAGCAACAGTCTGTTGAGTGTATTACATGAGCTCTCCATCACATGCTCTTCCCTGTTGCAGGTAGGGCTGCACACTATGCAAAAAGAAATCATGTTGCGATTGTTGTTGGCAAATATTGCGATTTCAGATACAGTGACATGAAAAAAAAAAAGATTTGTAGGCTGGGGCATCTCTGTAGCACCACAACGATTATGATGCTAACGAAGCACAACAATGTGACACATTTGAAAAGTGCCTTGAGATGACCTCTGTATGTGATTTGGTGCTGCATAAATGAAAAGCGACTTGACTTGACCAACCGTTGGTCTAAAGAATGAAAACATCTTGTCACTTTATTTCAATCGAACATGTCAAACATGAGGAATCATCATCATCACAAACAACCATTTACATTGTGTTTATTCATCATCATTGTCATTGCTATCATCCTCGTCAACCAGTGTCACATCCTACGTCTCCTCCCTCTGATGGCGGCAGGTTTGTAGCCTGCACATTTCTTCAGATTGTTGGCAAGGCAGGAAGGCAGGTCCGTACATACAGAAGGTCCAGGATGGCCACTGGTGCTGGGGATCCCTGCATCCAGTCTAGCATCAGCATACCTGTAAGAATAAGCGGAAGATATTTGTCATCCATTTCAGTGAGGAGCCTATTACCTATTAACTGTATTTATTAAAAACATACCTTTTGTCATCACGTCCGTCCATGTCATTTTTCGCTCTGGTTTGCCTGGCTGTCCTTCCAGGCAGCGCCTCCAGACTGCTGCCTGGTAGTTGGCACGCTGTATACACAGTCCCTGCAAGGAGGAATTAGGCCGGACTCTTTTTGATGATTATTTACAGATGCTCTAGATGATTGTACAAACATCCTGCAGACAAATCATTCCATGTTGCTGTAATAATTCCTGTGATACATCCAGGATGTTCTCAGGGTTATGAAGGATTCTTGAATGCCCTGTTTCCTTTGAGAGAACAGACCTTCCTTCATACATTCAGAGGAATACTCTGTTGTTGTGCCTCTAACCAGGGTTGGATTCATACAGGACTCAACATCCTGCAAAAGCACTTAGGCTCGCTCTTACAACCTGTAAAGGTGTGAGCAAGTTTGCTCATGTTGATACTTTGTTTTCTGATACAGAGGGAAGTTTATCAGTCTATGTTGCTCAGGGACGATAGCGTGTCCCTCCACAGGTTACAAATAGCTACATGTCCTGCAGTGTCACCTGGTCCTCTGTTAGCTCACTCTGGTCCACAATGAATGTTATCAAGGCTGTTCTGCTGTCTGTATTACTTAAAAGCTTTCTCCTCTGCACACACATTGTGTCCTGGGGCAATGTTCTCCTATTGAGTGCTACTTGCTGAACCTAAACTGCATCTCTCAGCATTCTTGATTGATGTTTTCCAGGTCACATCAAACACCACATCCTTCATGCAGTGCTGGGAAAGAGAAAAATCTCTCCAAAGGTTTTACCATAAGTTCTCAGTTTCTGAGCAAGGCTCATTCCATCAGTGTTCTCTGATATGTTCAACTGCTGAAGCTGACGTCTCTAACTCTCCTGCTAGAGCAACCTTGTTAGTTTTCTGTAATGAGCCAGCTGGATTTGAGAGCGTGCAAGGCATCCGACCAAGTGGAGGAGCCAGGACGTCTTTAATGTGATGATCTCTACTTTGTGAAGCAATGGTCGTATGCCCAAAGAGATTGCTGTCTGCTTTCAAGACCACCTCTTTGTTTTGTGCTTGATTTGCTCTTGTCTTCAGATTTTGTTTTCTCATGGAACTTGGCTGTGGGTGACTCTTTCTGAGCTCATCTGCTTCATCTCCTGTCTGGTGAGCTTGCAAGCAGATCACTGACTATGTCTGGTTATGCAGCCGTTCCTGTGGAGGAGTGATATCAGTCCAATCTGAACCAAAAGGGTTTACCCAGCTTTTATCTGCCTCATCCTTCTCTGTCCTGGGCTTCTGTAGATCTTTATGATTGAAACACTGTAGACTCGTGTTCCTGAAGTCTGTTTAGTATCTGGTGACTGCTCCAGTTTCCGGGCTGAAACCCTCGGTTCCTTCGACAGTTTGGGTGTCCTAGTTTCAAGTAAAATAAAAATGGAATAGAAGACATAAACACATCTAGATGAAGGAACATGCGGCACAAAAAAAAAAAATGACATGAAAACTCAGAGCCTGTTCTGTTCTTCTTATATATTTTTGTCATTTATGTAGAGTATTGTGTAAGGTTATAGTTACGGTCTACTCATCGGAAACAGTTATCATGTCTCAAACCACTTAAACAAACTGGTACCTGCCTCCTTAGCTGGGACCATGTTCTGGTCCTAACTGTGTCACCTGAGACGTAGTCATCGTCCTTATTCCTGCTGTATAACCAAGTAGTACATTATTCACAGCACATCAGTATGTACTCATAAAGCTAAACTGTAGCTGCTCAATAAAAGATATCATGTAGTCATTTTTCTGGAGTCTTCCCTCTTGTATTTAATCTTGCAGGGGAGGGAAATATGGGCCATCTGCTGTGCAAATACACTCCCATGCCAAATAAATATTGAGAGCAGACATAGTAAAAGATGATGAAGACAAAAAGCTGCATGCTTAATGACTATGGTTTCTGCAGTGAGAATGAATTTAGTTCCAACCCGTGCACCAGCCAAAGCTACCTCTGCAGTTGTTCTCTGTGAAAATATCTTTCTCCTTTCTCGTTTCCTGCTTTTACTCCAGTTTCTCCTTGACCATGCTCTTACTAGAAGGAGAAAAGTGGGTGGACTGAGTAGGACCCCCGTACTCAGTTACTCAACTGGAAAAACACACACTACCAATGTGTCCCCTCCTCCGTCTCCCTGCACCCCAGTTTAGGCTCAATGGAAACTGATAAAAATGCCTTTCAAAATGCTTAGTGTAAATATAAGAGGAAAGCCCTCTAGTGGCCACAGTAATTATGAGGAGGTCGGGTGATGCTGTCATAGAGCTTGAGGTTGAGGTGGAAGAAGATCCTATTACTGTATGACATGTTTATTATAGTAACCATGACAACGAATGTCCTCTAACCTTAACGAAGTAGGGAGAATAAAAAAGAAAAATTATTTGAACCCAAACCCTGATCTTTCCCTGAAACGAACCAAGTTGTTTTTGTTCCTAAACCTCACAATCCTATACCAAAGCACTGTCACATCATAACGACTTAAAGTCATAAAGTCATTTATTTTTAACAGTTTATCTGTGCCGCATTTCTGCCAGCAGGTGCTTTAATCCAGGAGACATATGGCTCATATCTTTACCTGTAACGCTGTTTAAGCTGGAGGACTGGCAGCAGATTCATGCAGTGCCAAAGGCTCAGTCCAACCTGTTTGGGAGCAGGATCATGATCATGAGCAGAACATGACAGAATATGTATCATAGTGACCTGACAGCCAGGTCCCATGATACATGAATTCACTATGACAGATGAGGGAACTTGAACTTGGCGTCGCACCGTGATGTAAATGAATATACCAGGAAAGGATTCAGTTTATTTAAGCATAAGTTATGAAGAAAGAAACACCTGCTGCTGCCAAAGAGAGAGAATACAAAAGGGAAAGAGAGAGACTGATGGAATCAGCCCCAACAGGTAGAACCAGCTTTTTTCTGCAGGACATGTAGACTGTACATAAAGGTTACAATGAAGTTCAGTTTACATCAACAACAACGTACACTGTGGGAACGGATCATGTACATTTACACAGAAAGGATGGACAAATATACCGTCATCATGATGCTGTGGTACCATGTCAGAATAAATATGAGCAACAGAAGAGGTTCACAGAAGAAGAGGAAAGGTCATGAGGTCGTTAATTCTCTGCAGAGCATGAGTATGTTCAGTAACTTTCATGGCCGTCTCGCACTGTGTCCTGAGGGCCGTGAAGCAGAACATGGAGTGTGGTGTACATTTAAGAACAATTGTCCATTCGATTTAAGCCGTCTATTATTCTGGTACGAGACAAAAGGTCAAAGGTGAACGCTAATGACCTGAATGATGAACATCCATAGTAAATGTTTGGTCTGACCAGTCTAACTAACCAGTCATTTGTGTGTGTGTGTGTGCGTGTGTGTGTGTATGTGTGTGCGTGTTCCTGTGCAGGAAGTACAGCGCTGCACTACCGACATGAAGATCACCTCGGAGCACTCCAACCACCCGGACAACAAGCACAAGAACAGATACATCAACATCGTGGCCTGTGAGTTCACACAAACAAACACTAGAGTAAAAAGTTCATGTAGTTAACACTGATGGAAACATCTCTCACTTTTGAATTCAAACTGTTGCAGCAAAACATGTTTAATATGTGCAAAGACGTGCGCAGAAACATGCGCTATTTGACACACAGGTTCGTTCCTGTGCTGATATTTTCTACAGTCACAGCACAGTGTTGTGTAGTAAGATTTCAATCAACAGAATCCTCTGTTCGGAAATTATACTCAGAGCATTTTCATCCACACAGTCACTCATGTAGCAACTGAGGCTAATTTCACACAGTGTATTTTGTGCTGCAGTTTTTATTTAATTCTAACTTAGCTCAGTTAACTGTGTCTTTCTAAACACCTGCTGTGTGTTCAACTCTTTCTATCAAGACTATTTCGGTGTTAAAACAAAGTACAAACACAGCTGAAAAACTACACTAATGGAAAATGTTCTCTGGTTGTAAGTGCAGTCATTTGGACTTGTTTTGATCATCTAAACAGGCCAATAAGCAAAACAAGTCACTGTTCTTGGTTTTTAACAAATTTCCATGAAGAACAGCAGATTTTTTTGAAAGAAGCAGATTTGTTTAAACTGACTTTGGTTTCAAAGGTTGTGTTTCCATTCCAATGAGCCTCCTTTCACAATAGTTCACGATAAAAGATGTTCTATTGCAGCAAAGACAGCTCAGAAAAACGGAGAGGAGAAGAGGCAGAGGTAGATGGATGTTACTTTGAGAAGGATGAATGTACTAAACCTCTGGGAAGCTAACTGGTTATCTGGTCATCAGTTACCTCACAGCTCATCCACATGGCGGCTCGAAAAGAAACTCCCTGTAAAGTGACAAAGATTCCCTGTGACAGGTGAATTTCTCTCAGACGTTGAGATACAGTGGAGTTCAAGTCATTCAGGGAAAGTTGTCTCAGACATTAAGACCAGACCGTATGTATTAATGGAAGTGTGGCCCACATAGTAACACAGCAGGAATGGTCATTAGAATCATCAGGCCACCATAAATAATGTCTGTTGTCCAGGTCCTCCGTCCAAAACTGTGTCTGGTGATTTCTGCTACATGTTGATTATTGTTTAAAAGACCAAACGACTGACCTCCACTAGAGTCAAAAGTGAACAGAAACCATCTCGAGCTGAAGCACCACACACAGCCTGATGTACGTCAGTGCACCAAGCAGGTAGAAATATTTCACATCTCATAAAACCAGTCTCTGTGTCTGGAAGCAGAGTAATGTTGAAGGTGCGGTTGCCATGCTGTTCAGCTGTAAAAAAAAATATAACCCAGACTGACCACAGTTTCAATGTACTTCCTGGTTGGCAGCAGGGGCTCTACCAGCAGCACATGGACAGTCCTTTGTTAGTGTGAAGGTTAGCTCCTGCCCTGGTCTCAGTCACACAAACAGGCTAATCTTTTTCTTCTGCTTTGTGTTTCCTCCTAAGACGACCACAGCAGGGTGAAGCTGAGGCTGCTGGCTGGGAAGGACTCCAAACACACCGACTACATCAACGCCAACTGTGTGGACGTGAGTGCTGTGTGTGTGTGTGTGTGTGTGTGTGTGTGTGTGTGCGTGTGTGTGTGTGTGTGTGTGTGTGTGTGTTTGAGATGAGGAGGGAAAATCATCTCAGATGATGACGACGGCAAGAGGCAATACAGGATAAAGCATCCAGAGATATATCTGCCAGATGTTTTCTCAGGCTTAACCAAAACTAAACAGTCTGTGTCTCTCCATCTATCATCTCAGCGGTTTATAATAAACCCTAAAGCCTACATCGCAACCCAGGGACCTCTCAAGACCACCTTTGAGGACTTCTGGCGGATGGTGTGGGAGCAAAACACCGGTGTCATCGTCATGATTACCAACCTAGTAGAGAAAGGGCGGGTATGTTCTGACACTGCTAACACAGATTCAGTGTAGATGCTTGGATGTTTGAGGTGCGGTTCAGAGGACATTTTGACCTGTCAAACATACTAACTACAAAAACTAACTGCAGCGGGGCCTCATTTAAACCCTAATGAATACTGATCTGGCTCTGAACTCACCACTCGGTATTTGTTAAGCATCTATAGCATCCAAAAGTCAAAAAACATCTCCTTTCCTAACCAGGTGGAAGAGTGAAATATGTGAAGGAGAATTCATAAGGACTTAGGAAAAGACAGCCATGGTTCTAACTTTATTTCACACATGGATGATAAAAATAATGAATTATATTCAGACAACAGTAGGTTATGTAGAGTTCTGCATTTTTTTCTATACATTTGTTCAGTAGAGAAAATACATTTTTTAGTGCAGTGAGCGGTTTTGAAACAGTATTTATTTAATCAATATCACACGAGAGAGAGTGATGTACTGAATATCAGCATGGCCTGCAGCCTCGTACCAAGACAATCACAGCTGATATTCAGTCCAACGTCACGACCTCGAGTGTGATATTGTTTTTATACAACAGTTCTACGAGCTAATAGAGGGAGAGAGCGCTGGAGAGATGGTGAGGGGAGGTAGGGGGAGGGGTTTGTTTATTTCTGTTGTGTTTCTTTTTTTCTTTCTTTTTGTCAGACAAGTGAAATAAGCATCAACAGATTATGATTTGTTTGTTTATTTCATCATTTATTTGGCTAAGGATTATGTTAAATTCTATAGTTTTCCAATGAATGAAGCGTTAGCTTGACGCTGTGATGAGTCTCCACGTCTTTATCCACTTCAAAAATATAACTCCACTTCAAAAAATCCACAGGACCACTTCATAAAGTTGAGCTGTTTACTTCATCCATTTTCCACCGCTTATCCCCTAGTAGGGTCGCGGGGGGGCTGGAGCCTATCCCAGCATCCTTTCGGGCGAGAGGCGGGGTACACCCTGGACAGGTCGCCAGTCCATCGCAGGGCAAACACACAGAGACAGACAACCATCCTCTCTCACAGTCACACCTATGGTCAGTTTAGAGTATTCAATCAGCCTAGTCCCCATTTGCATGTCTTTGGACTGTGGGAGGAAGCCGGAGTACCCGGAGAGAACCCACACAGGCACGGGGAGAACATGCAAACTCCACACAGAAAGACCCCGCGTCCGAGCCGGGACTCGAACCCGGAACCTTCTTGCTGTGAGGCGACAGCACTAACCACTGTACCACTGTGCCGCCTCTGTTTACTTCAATACAGACTAAAAATAATAACACAGAATAATGTCTATTTCCAAAGTTATTAAACCAAATAAGTCAGCCTGACTGACCCTATATCACTCCCTGCCCCTCCCCTCACAGGAACATCAAAACAATTCAGGTGCAGAGTAACAAAAAGGCAACAATTATAGTCACCTATTCCTTTATATCCCAAATGTAACAAATGAAATTGTATATATTTTAAATTATCCATACATCAATTTTACTGACAACAAAACAAACAACAACTTATTGTGTTACATTACTGTAAATATGAACTGTAAATACCTCAGACTGTAAATACTGTACATAATCTTTCGATTTCTTTAGCCACTTACTGTCTATTACTCTGTGACTGCTCACCTATAGCAGGCAGTCTCTCTCTTCCTTTAGGTTACTTAGTTTGGTTTGACCTTTGGTTGATTTAATTTTGGTTTTCTAACACTTGTACATGTTCACACATCCGCACACATCACTGGTGAGCTCACTGCATACTTCATTTAGTTTTCTTAAATACACTGATTTCACTTTGAAGAGTCATGTGTGGTCTTCTATCTTTCCTTTGAGCCGGGTCGTGACATATACAGGTGAGCAGTCACCAGGTGTCAGCTGTCACTCCTCATGAGCCCCTCCCCAGATTCCAACAACCAGGAAACTGGTTTGAAAAAACACTCAGAATATCTAGCTTTATAAAGAAATTTGACTTAAGTGGATGATTATTCCATCAGTTAATGTGGTTGAGGTGCAAAGAAATCAGGAGAGTCATGATTAATATTGCAGAGCCCAGGCTGTGCAGGATCTGCCAGCTGATGCATTCTGGTATCAGTGAGGTATTCAGGTATTTCAGCCACACTGTGATGAAGGACGAAAAATGACACGTACAAACAAATCAACCAATCAATGAATGCCGAAATAAATAATTAACTACATAAATAAATCCAAAATAAAAAAAACATTTTGGTAACAAAAAATGCTATTTCTGTATTATATTTATTCATTTATTTATTTATGTATTTGACATTTATTTATTTATTTCTACATTTACATGTTAATTAGGTAGGCAGTCCCTCATCCTAAAGCGTGATTGGTTGTAACAGTGTGATTGATTGGATGGATCTGCTACTCCTGCCTTTACACAGGAGCTTTGCCTTTCCAGTGTTGCCAACTTACCCACTTTGACATTAGATTTAGCAACTTTTCAGATCACATTTTATTCATAAAGCACCAAGGAACAAATCTAGTCACTTTTTGAACAAACCTTGGCTACTTTGCATCAAGGAGAGTAACATTTATTACCATAATGTTTTTATTTTTCATTTTTAATGTATTTAATTATTTATCTTGGCATTTATTTATTCATTCTTTTATCTATATTTATGTTATTTTTCATCCTTCATATGACTGAGACTGAGGGTCTGGGAATGTGGTGTTGAGCTCTACGCTCAGTAGATTAATAATAATTTAATAATGAATCACAGATGTAAAAGGTAAAGGTCTGGTTGGTGCTGAGGAGCTGATTTAATCATTAGAGCACAAACTCAATACAGCTGGCCTCAGTGTTTATCACACTGTGAACATGTGATTATTGGTTTGATATGAAGTGAAGTTAAACCTGAGAGAAGGATCTGGCTTCAGTTCACGACCTCAGCTGTCGAGTTACACACATTCTCCCCTCAAGTTTCTCTTATGAGCAACTTTTCTGTGCAATGTAGTGTATGCATCTTCCCAGCACTGTTTTATACGAATGCAACAGTTTCGAATGAGAACCATTGGTACGGTTCATGCCGGCTCACTGGCATGATGGTTCTCTATTTGGAAGCTGCGTTTGACTTCTATCTGAGTGTCTCCTGATCACTTATTAGATGATGTTGCACTGTGGTTGAGAGCAATATATTTATGAAGGTATTCAGTGTGCAGTGGCCCTGAAGGGGCAGGTGTTCATACCTCAGGTCGCTGAATTTAATTGAATTGAAAGTCTGTCACTGTTGTGACTGGTTAAACCCTGCAGAACATTTCTCACCACAAAAGCAATTCAGTGTTTGATCGTTTCCATGTAAAAATGTAATAAATGTTTCCTGGTTCATTTACGTGCCTTCAACCCTCCTCAATTGGTTGATAGTATTTTAATCTGACTCCTGTGTGTGTGTGTGTGTGTGTGTGTGTGTGTGTGTGTGTGTGTGTGTGTGTGTGTATGTGTCTCTGTGTGTGTCCTACAGAGAAAATGTGACCAGTACTGGCCGACAGAGAACAGTGAAGAGTACGGCAATATGGTAGTCACGCTGAAAAGCACCAAAGTTCACGCCTGCTACACTGTTCGCCGTTTCACACTGCGCAACAGTAAAGTCAAAAAGGTGAGACTAACAGGGAAGAAGAGGGACTTCCTGTCGGGACAGGAAGGATTTCTACTTTCAAAGTATAAGTAAAGAAACAAACACAAATCTGGTTTCCTGTTTCAGAATGGAAATCAGTTAGGTATGGTGTGGTGTGGCACTCTCCAGGTCAAGTTTGATTTTCATCAATATAATAAAGACTGTGATTGAATCATGTCATGCCTACTGAAATCTGAAAGTATAATTTAATTACATTGACCAGATGATAATATCTCTTCAGTCATGAGCTTTGCTTCACTTTTTTTGGTTTCATTAATACGTTGGGTTTGAAGTTTATGGGTAAATGTGAGAACTGAACCATACTGTAGAGGTTAGATCGTCCCCGTCACTTGATGCTTCTTTTTATTTTTTCCAACCTAACAAACATGTCTTTCTTCTCTCTTTTCCATCTTCTCTTCTGTCCAGGGTGGGAAAGCGAACCCTAAGGTGCGGGGCCAGAATGAACGGACAGTGCTCCAGTATCATTACACCCAATGGCCAGACATGGGTGTCCCAGAGTACACCCTGCCCGTCCTCACCTTTGTCCGCAGGTCCTCAGCCGCCCAGGAGCCTGATATGGGACCCATGCTCGTTCACTGCAGGTGATGCCTCTATAGTGCTCCCTCTGTCTCCCATTCATCATTCTCCTAAGTTAGACTGTGTTGTTATTGTTAACATTAAAACTGTTGTTGCTTTACAGACTTAAGTCACTGACGAGCTTTTAGAATAACCAGGAAACACTTAGTGATTGCTTACAAATTGATTCAGTGTCTATTTTCTATTTTTCACCTTTGTGCATTTAATCTATAAAAAGACGTGCTGGTCCTCAGTGTCACTGTGTTGTGTTGCAGTGCTGGAGTGGGTCGGACAGGGACGTACATCGTCATTGACAGCATGCTGCAGCAGATCAAAGACAAGAGCACAGTTAATGTACTCAGCTTCCTCAAACACATACGCACCCAGCGCAACTACCTAGTCCAGACGGAGGTTTGTATGTCTGCACGCTGCAAATTGATGATGGATGGATGGATGGATGGATGGATGGATGGATGGATGGATGGATGGATGGATGGACTAAAGAAAGGTCATGGTCAGTAGTTGTGTGTTGGATAAACTGAAGACCCAGTAGAAGTTCAGTTGCTAATGTTATGAGCCATGGTGTCAAGGGGAAACTGATACTGGTACTTAAAGGTCCTGGTTGGGTCCCATTTATGCGGGTCCAAGGGAATCTGTCAAATTAAAACAAAGCTGTCTGTGGTTCTATAGTAGTATACAATAATTCATTTAATTTGGGAGGTGGCAATCATTGGGGACTGGGGATGGATGGGTGGGAGGAGGTTGTGCTGAACAGCTCGTAGCAGCTCATTTAAAAATAAGACTAGGTATAAACCTAGTGTATGGCTAGACTGTGTGTGGGTGTTCACAGGGAAAAAAATCAACCCCTGCCCCGCCACCTGGGGACTGCAATCATACACTACAAAATAAAAGTTTCAATCAAATCCTCCCTTCAGTACCATGGATTGCGCCTTTCGGCCTGCCATGCCAAAACACTTATTTACAAAGTAAAATATTTAATTTATAATAATGTCAAAATGCAATAGTACAATATGCTGTTAACATAAAAATAAAAAAGGCTATTGTAAGAGGAGCATGAGCACAAACCACAAAAAATCAGCCACCTGAAATGAGACTATACTCTTACTGCAGCACAACAATAAACTCTGTTAAGAAATGACGGGTTTATGTCTACTGCAACACTAGAGAGCTTTTTTTTTTAAAGTTGTTTTTCTGGCTTTTTATGCCTTTATCATAGTGAAGGTCAGAGAGAGACAGGAAAGGTAAGGAGAGAGAGGGAGGGGATGACATGCAGCAAAGGGCCACGGGTCAATTCGAACATGCGCTCTACCAGGTGAGCCATCGAGGCACGCCCTTACTAGAGAGGTTTTAATTTGAAATGGTTATAGGAATTGTTGAGATTGTATTGACACATAATGCAGTACCTCTAATGGTAAATTTAATGGCAAATGTTCGCAGGTCAAAACAAGGTTTCATTCTAAAATACCGCTTAACAGACGGAATTAGAAATAAAGACCTGCCTCTAATACAAGTCTGTTACCTTCTGTAGCCGAGGTAAATAAAGGCCCGGCTCACTACTTGAGGAAATACAGTAGCAAAAAACTGTTGTGAATTCGCCGTAAGCAACCCCTGATGACGGGGGGGAAGTCCAACACTCAGCGGACCAACCAATGATGTAACTTCATCCCTCACTCACTCACTCACGGACATTCGTGAATGTAGCGCTTGCCCGTGGCCAGTTAGACCAAAAACTGAAGAAATTAACTTGAACTAGTTTTTAATCTGTGTGAACTTGCACTGCTTCATGATCACATTAATAATTTACTCTGTGTGAATGGTTTGTCTCCCCTGGCAGGAGCAGTACATCTTCATCCACAATGCCTTGATGGAAGCTATTTTGGGGAAGGAGACAGAAACGGCAGCTAGCCAGCTTCAAAGCTACTTCACCAGCATCACGACGCCGGGACACGGTGGTCGGACACGTCTGGACAAACAGTTCAAGGTGAAGGGACAGAATTTATATTTTCACATGAAACAACACGAGTACACTCATGGCATAACCAGTCAAGAGAAAATTTATTACCACCAATGTTCTTTGATGAAAATGAACTCTGATGAGCCAAGATATTATGACTAACACATGACCAAAGTACAAACTTCCCGTATCCCTTGTTACGCTACTGACCAGCGACAGGTCCTGAGTCTGTTCACTCCAGTGGGAGAAGTGAACGTGATCACAGATTACGATTATTTTGCCCCATAGTCTCCAAAGTAACTACTGGACCAGTTTCTCACAAACCACAGGTCTTCCTAACATTCGGAAACTAAAAATGATAGTTTTCAGACCAGCACCTCAAGAAAAAATTACCTTTGTCCGAGACCTGTCTTTGATATGATCTTTTGCTGGGTTGATCAGGTATTAAGCTAGCACGAGCGGCACAATAAGGCTCGCTTTGTGCTGTATCTGGTGTTTAATTGTTTTGACATGGACAAGCCATAGTCCATCAGTTAGTGTTAGAAATGTTGAAGCTTTGCACTGCAGAAGGCTGTAATAACAGGAACATTTAATACATTACCTATTAATATTAGCTACTGTACTGCTACTGTTACATTTCACAACAGCTGACCACGCCCACTCAGGAGACAGGAAGTGTACACTGTTTCATACCATTGGCGCTGCTTGTAATGGCTCATGTTTGTTATAGAGCATCTTTGATCACGCCTTCTTGGCTCATCTGTGAATCTTTTGTCCTCAGCATTTTAAGATCAAGGCCGCAAAGGCTTCGAGATGTGATGTGTAAAATATTTTTGTATTCAGCATCAACTTCTGGTCAGTTTCATATACAATACGTTAAAATGAATAAGAAAAACACATATTGAGATATAAATAATTAGAATAAAAATGGGATCAGACTTGGGTGTGCAAGATACTTTTCAGATGACTCAGACTGGGATTGGTTTATTTCATAGGAAACTCTTCCAGTAAAAAAAATCAGCAGATTTCCTCTTGAATTAATTGTAATAAAGTAAATAATAATATGGATATACAGTATATTGATAAATTAGTCCTGAAGTAAACATTGTCCTGCTTAGTCTGTCAGATTTCCTCATCATCCAGCCCTGGTTTGTGTTGGTTGTGATGATGGCTGGATGTAAGTCAACAGGAGAGTATTTGGTTCTTGTTATTCCAGCACATGTGCCGTAATTGAGTCCAAAGTCTGGAGTAGATGAAGCGTGTGTGCAGAACAATAGCTTTGTTTGTTATGGTGATGTATTAATGGCTCCATGATAAGGTTAGAGCTGCTGAATTCAGTCATTGTTTTAGCTCTCTATTGTTTTTCCTCTGGTCTTGGTGGTTATTTCGCAACCTCTCTGCGCCGGTTTGGGTTTCTGTGTGTTTCTGTTCTTAGCTGGGGATTTTCTGTGGTGAGCTGCTTTCTGTTTATCTTCAGGTCTTATTATGTAACTCTTATTTATATCTGCTGAAACTGTTGAATCAAAGGGTTAATGACTCACAAACACAACAGTATGGGTGAAATGCAAGGGGTTTTTTGTACATTGTACTGTAAAATTCACCCCATAGGTCCAGCCGTCTCTGCCCTAAATTTTGAAAATGAAGTAGATTTTGATATTTTACAGTACACATTTTATCCTGAACTAAAGCACAGTTATTGAATTTAAGGGAAGTACATTTGTTTGCTTACTGTGAGTTCTTCTAGATATGAATATCAATATCAGTTTCATCTATCTGTAGATAGTACCTAGTTAGTTCCACACGTTTAGCTAAGCTTAGCACAAACACTAGAAAACAAAAGGGAGCAGCTGACATAGCTCTGCCAAGGCAAAGTATCATCTACTGTCTTTTTTTGTTTCTTTGAATTTTCTATGTGTCTATTAAACACATGTAGAAATAGGAAAGGAGGCATTGCAGCTTGAGCAGTTAGCTCAGGCATCAAAGTCAGCAACAATAAAGACAACACTCTGCAAACTTCTGTAACACTGAACAAACCCCAGATAATTATTGGATGTATGAATTTTCTAGCTAAAAAGGTAATATAAACAAGATATTTTTGAAGCTGTTGAAAGGTTTATTTTTCTTATTTTGGTGGAGGCCAACAGTTTCCCTCTGCTTCCAGTCTCTGTGTTAACATAGGCCGAACATGGAAGGTCTTGTTGAATTCTGTTTCCCCTTTGAAAATATTTCCTGTATGTGTGTTTTGGGTTAGGTTAGGTCTTAGTTATCCAGGTCAGAGCTAAATCAAACTACAAGTTGAAGTTTAGTGGTGGTGATGTTGAAGTCATGTGACCGTGATGTAGCTAACATTAGCTTTTTACTTCTGCTGATTGTATTCAGGCTTCAAGCATCATCAAGTGGTGTCCTTTAGGGAAGATGATCCTGCTGAACAAAACCTGTCAGGATCATTAACTGTTGTTTATGTTCTGTAATGATGCAAAAGACAATGGAAAAATCCCATAGGCTTTCTTGGAGGGAACCAGGGTGATTATAACTTCAGGGTTGGACTACAAAAATACATCATCCTTGCAGCTCTTTGTAGCTGCCAGTAGTTCCTTCCTCTTAGGACGCTGATGAGCCTGGAAAGATGGATTCTCGCTTGTGAGAATTCCTGCCGCCTTGCAAGCTTAAGTAAATTTGGGTTCAGGTAAAGGTAATTCCACTGAGGAACACACAGAGATCAAATCAATATTCACCTTCTCTGATGAGTCTGTTTAAAATGAAAAACGCATTTTCCCCAAAATCTCAACTTCCTTGTTTGTGATTAGTTGGTCTGTCGTTTAAAGTGTAGCACCCTCACTCTATTCTTCTTCTGCGTTTCAGCTGGTAACACAGTGTAATGCCAGATTCATGGATTGCTTCAATGCTCAGAAGGAGTGCAACAAAGAGAAAAATCGAAATTCCTCTGTGGTGCCATGTAAGTGTTACACTTGTGTAAAAGCCTGTTGAATTTGAAGTGAAACTGTGTTCAGGACAAAACAGCAGGAAATAATAAAACAAGTACAATTATTTTTGTACTGTTCAGCACCAATACATTTTTTTCACTCAGAAATGAAAGCTCCATCAGTTGTGGAAGCTCGACACACAGCAGCTGATAGTGACTCTGAATTAGCTTAAAACGTGTTGTCCAGTAGGGGGCAGTACAGTGAGAGATGTATGTGTCTATTTAACAGTTTGACCAATATTCAAATGTGGTATGTCTGGCCTGGGTCAAAGGTCATACGACACTGTAGGTTCATGTTTTTTGATTAAAAAAAAATAAAACACAGCTGCCATCAAGCAATGCTTGTTCCTTCAGCCAGTCCTTTTCAAGCAATGCAGCTCCTCAAACTGAACAAGCACCAACCTTTAAATTCCCACGTTACACTAACAAAGGACTGGGTAAGACAAAACAAGACAAGACAAGATAGTCCTTTGAATTATCTTATCTTAAATTTGCAATAATAAAACTATTTACAAAATTTTATCCCAACAGACCAAGTCCTCTTTAACTTAACCAGGACTAAAACCTTTTCCTAACAAAATGTCTGCGTTAAAATGTACAAAATGTAACATTGATTCACAAAATAAAAGTAATCTAATCAGATTACCCTAAATGTTGTGTTTCTATGAGTTTCAGAAATGTGAATATTTATGTCTGCACCAGCTTTCAGAAACTCATTAGCTAAACCTTGACATGGATTACTCTATTGTCTGTAGGTTGTCAGGATCATTATTCAGCTGCTGCCTATTGACTTCATCTGTTACACAGCCTGTTGACACTCACTGTCTAGTCCACATTTCTCTGAATCAGCAGCCAGGAATTACCAAGAACTGCCTTCACTCAAGCAGTAACAGCAAATGCATGCATGATGATTGTGCAGAGTTGCCTCTCAGTGTGACTGGTCTGTTCTAATAAAGAAGTAAATGGCTATTCTTGTTCCCTCTCCACCCCCTCCCCTCCCTCTCTCCCTCCCTCCCACCCTCTGTCTAACCATGAACAGCGGAGCGAGCGAGGGTTGGCCTAGCACCTCTGCCCGGGATCAAAGGCACCGATTACATTAACGCCTCTTACATCATGGTCAGTGCTTCCACTTCTTCTGTCAATCCTTGATCTTTCCACGATCTCTCTCTCTCCCTGGTGTTTTGACTCAGAGCAGGTTACATCAATTCAAAACACACACCGCATCACTGACTGTGTGTTTAAACATACACTCCCTGATTTTAATGGGGTTGATGCCAAAATCAGTTCAGTGTTGACATTTTGACTCAACACAGCTCAGGGTAAAGTTTCAGAACACCGTGTACAGTCCAGGGGGAGGAATCTAGAGAGCTGCTACAAAATCAGGGACTGTGCCTTAAAAATGGTACACCAGCATTTGTATTGTGCTCCCATAAATTTGAGGGTCTTGTGAGAGACTGTTTTAGAAAAGATGGGTCAAAATCAAAGCAGCAGATGCCGAGACATTCTGAACTTTAGCCTGTAGAACAGGCCACGCTGCAAAAACACAGGATCCTACACTTCCCATAATGCAACCAAACCATGTGATGTAAATAGTATAAATGACCTGTTGTTTTCTATTTTAATTCATTTTTCTACAGGGTTACTACCGGAGTAATGAATTCATAATTACCCAGCATCCTCTGCCTCACACCATAAAAGACTTTTGGAGAATGATCTGGGACCACAATGCACAAATTATTGTTATGTTGCCTGCCAACCACGGATTGGTAAGACACACACACACATGCACACACACGCACACACACACACACACAGACACACACACACACACACGCACACACACACACACACGCACACACGCACACACACAATCACAAACACACACACACAGACAGATATAATGTGAGGATGCCTTAAAAATAATGCTATGAATAGTTTTTCTGTTTTTTCGCATAATTCTCCTCAGTCCACTTGTACAGTTTTTGCAGGTAGGTTGTTCCAGCATCTTGGAGAACCTGCCTCAGGATCTCTGTCTATTCATGTGATCCCAGACTCACTCCATGATGCTGAGATCACGGCTCTGAGGGACCCAGACCTCCTTGTCACCTTTTGTCACCAAAGACAGTTCTTTATGACTCTCTGTGTGATTGGGCTCGATGTCCTGCTGTAAAATGAATCTGGGACCAATCAGACGATTGGATAGTACTTTGATGAATATGTGTGTGCTGTGTTTTCTGCCTCCTATGCTTAAGTTTAAGGTATCATGAATCAGAGACAAAGAGAAAGACGTGACCCCCCATGCTATCACGTGCTTGTGCTCATCAGTTCCCTGACTTTTATGAAGCAGGAGCTACATATACACTCTGATGTTGAGTTGACTGAATTTGGGTCGGCTGATATTTGACAATATTGAATATCAGGTATCACAATTACTGAACCGAGATATTACATTTTGGATATTGTCCAAGCTGAGAGTGAACGTCTTTACCTACTGGTATATATTTCCAACAACATAAAATATGTATCCTGTTATACACTGTTAAATGAACTAAATGAATGACTAACCACAGTAGCCACCCTGTGTGTGTGCTCTTCTGCAGGCAGAGGATGAGTTTGTATATTGGCCCAGTCAAGAGGAGGCCATGAACTGCGAGGTGTTCACTGTCACCCTCATCAGTAAAGACCGGCTCTGTCTGTCCAACGAGGAGCAGATCAGCATCCATGACTTCATCCTCGAGGCTACACAGGTTACTGCGTGTGTGGGTGTTTGTGTGTGTGCGTGAGAGAGAAGGGGAGCTGTAAAACACTGTCAGACTGATTGCGGCAAAGTGGCGATTCGGGGTTCAAGCCCTTTTGCACTCAACAGGACAAAGCAGCTCAATTGGCTAAGATTAAAGTGGCGAGCAGCAGCGAGCAGGTTTCAGGCTCGACAAAGCCGGTCAAAGTCACTTCAGCTTGTTTGATTGTGTTTGGAGAAAGACTGCGATCAATCACAGGCATCACAAAGCCTGCAGCATTTCAATAATTGTGCACTCAACGTTCCACCATTTGTTCCCCATTCATCAGATTTGAATGAAACTGTGTGTGTGTGTTCAGGACGTGTCGGGATGTCTGCAGTGAAGTAAGTCAGGGTTGTTCACAGGCATCTTGAGTTATGAGCAAATATATGATTGGCCACGCCCACTGTATATGGCACACCTAAAACTCTGTCCACTGGGTTTTGAGGAACGCATTTTAGGTACTTGTGGCACGCCCTATGGGTCAGATACAAAATGCTGTAGAACTTTTCCCAAACACGACCTGAAGATAGGAACCCAGATTTATGATGACTGGACAAATCTTTAATGAATTATTTTCATTTTTCTGCTAAGCTCCGCCCCTTGTGAAGTTTATTGGTCAATATCTTGAAAACTAAAGATAATATCAACAAGCTTTATGTAACTTCTGATAAGTTTGGTCCATTGACGATAGAGAAAAAGTGGTAGTAACCAGACCTACAATTTAGGAGGAGAGGTGAAAAACTTAAAAATGGGAAATCTATCGTGGCGTCTTTAATGGTCCATCTTAGGGCCATAATTAAAACAGCACCATCATCTGGCCGACTGGGCTCATGTTTCTTGGGAAGCACATGCTCATCATTTGTCTGTAGATTTGAATAAGAAACACACATACATCTTAGACTCTTCACAACTGCTCTCATATACACCACAACATTTCATTTGCAGGTTAATGGAATAAAGATCAGATTTTTTTGGTGATTTTTATCATGACCAAATCACAGCCCTGTCAGAAAACACAGAAAACCATTATTTTGGTGAAGCTGATGTCACAAACCCCGGATCTAACTGTTCTCTCTTCTGCTGTCTCTCTGCCTGTCTCGCCCTCTGTCTGACGACCAGGATGACTATGTATTAGAGGTTCGTCACTTTCAGTGCCCCAAATGGCCGAACCCTGATGCACCCATCAGCAGCACCTTCGAGCTCATCAATGTCATTAAAGAGGAGGCGGCCACCCGCGACGGACCAACCATCGTCCACGATGAGTGAGTCTGACTTCTTATTTGCTCTTCACCACATCACATGACCATGGTTTAAACCATAGGTGTCAAACTCTGGCCCGTGGGCCAAATATGGCAAGCAGTGTAATTATATTTGGCCCACGAGGCAATACCAAATGACTACTAGAGCTGGCCCGCCGGTATTATACAGCGCATGCACCGCTTATACTACAAATCCCAGAATGCTCTGCTCGTGTTTGCTTTGTTTGTTCCATATTGTTTGAACTTGTTTGGGTCCATTTTTTCAATAAATATCAATGTTGGCCCGCGACTTTGTCCAAGTTTTAAATTTTGGCCCACTGTATATTTGAGTTTGACACCCCTGCTTTAAACTGTCAGTTAAAATGAGAAATCGCAAAAGTAAAGTGAGGAAAGGTTCAGTTTGTTTTACTTCCATTCTCATTCTAACCAGTGACAGTCCCTACAACCCCCCCACCCCCCCCTCCCCACCCCCACCCCCACAACTGGTACCCCAACAAACTGGCCAATTAAAATTAATGAAAGTCTCTTTCATATTGACTCAAACTAGTGATCTTGAACGACACTTGAGCAGCTCTGCTTATGTTTATTCATTAGAATAATGAAGATTGCTCGTCAGGAGAAGAGAAGCAGCTAAATGAGCGCTTCATGTGGTTGCTATGGCGCAGCTGTCTCACAGCACCTAAGAGGTTGTCAGTTAGAGGCTTATCCTATTTGTCTGTGCGCTCATTATTCAGCCAGGCGTGCGTTGTAAGCAGCGGTTTCTGCTGCACTCCTGACAAGGCTGCTAATGGAGGAGGAGACCCTTTACATTGTGAAGGTGACCCGGCGTTCCCCCGGGGAGTCTCACAGGGGCTGAGCTGTCGTCCTCAGGTGGATGCACTTGCTAATAAATTTTTGATGGCAGAGGCGACATTCCTGATCTGTGAGGGACTTCAATGCCTGTCTGAGCTGCTAGAGGGACTTCTCAACAGCAGAGGTCTACATAGCTCCAAATCAGGAATTTTAATCAGTGTACTGAGAGATTTTCCTGCAGCCAGAGGATTTAATCTATCTATGATGAAGTAAACCGGCAGCTGTACAAGCTGGGGAGCCGCTGACAGGGCCATGACCTGGGTACTGAGGGTGAGGGCCAAGTTATAAGAAAGTAAGAAAGCTGTTTGATGACATTAAATGTAGCTACAGTGAGTGCTTTCCCAAAATGTCAGCTGTGCACAGAAAATAGATTTTTTCGTTTTTGAAAACCACAGAAAGTTAACTTTTCAGTACAGTACTCAGTCTTCAGCCCCTTCACTGCTGCACCTTTAAAATCAAGGCTCTGTTGACGAAGCAGTGGAGGAGCTCGATGAGACTTTTCTGACATTGTTGTGGAAATGAATGTTAACCCCAGACCCTGTGTGTGTGTGTGTGTGTGTGTGTGTGTGTGTGTGTGTGTGGTTGTCAGGTTGGGAGCAGTGTCAGCTGGCATGTTGTGTGCCCTCACTACCCTGTCTCAGCAGCTGGAGAGCGAGGGTGCTGTTGATATCTATCAAGTGGCCAAGATGATCAACCTCATGAGGCCGGGAGTCTTCACTGACATTGTGAGTCTGACGACCACGACTCAGCTGATACCCACTGTACTCTACTCCTTAACCAGCCCGAGTTAGAAATAGGCTTCTTGTTCAAAAGGAGTTAAAGTCAATCATGTATTTACTCAACATAACAACATCTGGCAGGTACAAAACAGTTCTAGGTAAAACATTATGGCTCATGTCCACATTTGTCAGAGCTATTAAGCTACAGTATAACTCTAGGACACGGCTCATAGGAGATGAAGCATGGTGGTTCTATACAGTGCCTTGCAAAAGTATTCACCTCCTTGGTGTTTTTCCTATTTTGTTGCCTTAAAACCTGTAATTTAAATTGATTTCTATTTGGATTGTATGTCATGGACCTACAGAAAATAGTGAAGTGAAATGAAAAAAAGAACTTGTTTTAAAAGATTCTAAAAGATAAAAAGTTGCTATGAAACCCCTAACAATTACCTTAGTAACTACCTTACCACATAATTAGTTAAATAAAGTCCACCTGTGTGCAATCTAAGGGTCACATGATCTTACTATATATACACCTGTTCTGAAAGGCCTCAGAGTCTGCAACAGCACTACTGTAAGCAAGCGACACCATGGAGACCAAGGAGCTCTTTAAACAGGTCAGGGACAAAGTTGTGGAGAAGGACAGATATGGGTTGGGTTATAAAAAAAAATATCCCAACCTTTGAACATCCCACGGAGCACCATTAAATCCATTATTAAAAGATTCCACCACTACAAACCTGCCAAGAAAGGGTCGCACATCAAAACCCACAGACAACACACCACAGACCAGGCAAGAGGGGCGTTAATCAGAGAGGCATCAGAGAGACCGAACATCACCCTGAAGGAGCTGGAAAGCTCCACAGCCGAGACTGGAGCATCTGTCAATGGGACCACTTTAAGCCGTGCACTGCACAGAGCTGGGCTTTATGGAAGAGTGGCCAGAAAAAAACCATTGCTTAAAGAAAAAAAAGAGAAAACATGTTTGGAGTTCATCAAAAGGCATGTGGGAGACTCCCCAAACACGTGGGAGAAGGTACTCTAGTCAGATGAGACTAAAGTTGAACTAGCCATCAAGGAAAACATTATGATCTGGCTCAAACCCAACACCTCTCATCACCCTGACAACACCATGGTTTTCATCAGCAGCGACTGGGAAACTGGTTAGAACTGAAGGTATGATGGATGTTGCTAAATACAGGGACATTCTTGAGGAAAACCTGTTTCAGTCTTCCAGAGATTTGAGACTGGGATGGAGCATACTGCTGCACACTGCATACTGCTGAAGCATCACTCCAGTGGTTTAAGGGGAAACATTTACATGTCTTGGAATGGCTTAGTCAAAGCCCAGACTTCAATCCGATTGAGAATCTGTGGCATGACTTGAAGATTGCTGTACACTCGCGGAACCCATCCAAGTTGAAGCAGCTGGAGCAGTTTTGCTTTGAAGAATGGGCAAAAATCCCAGTGGCTACATGTGCTAAGCTTATAGAGACACACCCCAAGAGACTTACAGCTCTAATTACTGTAAAGGGTAGCTCTACAAAGTCTTGACTTTGGGGGGTGAATAGTTATGCACGCTCATGTTTTCAGATTTTTTTGTCTTATTTTTTTGTTTGTTTCACAATAAAAAAAAATTCTGCATCTTCAATGTGTTTAGGCAGGTGGTGTAAATCAAAGGATACAAACACCCCCAAGAACAATTTCTTTCATTCCAGGTTGTAAGGCAACAAAACAGGAAATACTTGGGTGAATGCATTTTTACACTGTATTGTCCTCACCTGTTCTAGTCTCTGTCTCTGTCCCACAGGACCAGTACCAGTACCTCTACAAAGCTCTGCTCAGCCTCGTCAGCACCGAGGAGAACAGCTCTGGACTTCTGGCCCGGGACATTAACGGGACCGCGGTGTCCATGTCCAACCAGTGTGCCCAGGCAGAGAGCATGGAGTCGTTGGTGTGAGAGAGGCCAGTCAGTGGCCCGGAGCTGACCCGAGGCCGTCCTGTGGGTCCAAACACCCTGCGAGGTCCCTGAACCCACAAAGGGGAGGGGGCAACTTTGTAAAACGCGAAGGAACTATTGTGGGACAAGACTTTTTGAGGCCTTTTTTGCCAGACTCTTGGTTAAAATGAATAACCTGATTACTTTTTTACACTGATAAAAAGTTTTTGATATTTATTTTTTTTTCGCCATTTTATGTCTTAATGTTCTCCTACTGAAGGGTTTGCACCTGCATTTTTCAGTTTCACAGCAGCGTCGCTGGGCAACAAGAAACACTTTTCTGTCTCTTTCTTGTTTGCACTATATAACGTCAATGTTACTGCCTATACTAAAGCTGACTCACTAGGCTTTTCTCTACACAAGCTCTGATTTTTTTTAGTTTTTGTTTTTTTTCGACATTCCACGGCTCTGACCATTATTAAACCAACTGCTTCTGTGAAGGACGTTGTTCCGCCTGCCTGCCACAGCACCACGTTGTCTCCGGCACAAACTCTCAGCCTCAGTAACAAAACGCTGGTCGACTTCAGCTCAGTATAACCTCCTCCACCCTGCTCATCTATAATACTCATATTACCACTCATCTATCACAAGAGCCAAGATCTTTGAACCTCTTGCCACAGACAAGTAGCACTTGTTTTCTAAAAGTAATTTCCTCTCCACCTTTTTTTTTTTTTGCCCTTTTTTGTCGTCGCTCTCTCTCTCTCTCTGTCTCTCTTCTTAGCGAGTCACACCCATGTTATAAAACCTAAGGTGGTGTAACAACTGCTACTGTGAACTTTTATTATTATTTCTTTGTATAATTCATATTATGCTTTTTAATATATGGAAATACTGTATGTATACATATATAAATATATCCTTATCATAATAACTTTGTGATTTTTGTACATGTCTTTTGTGGCCTCTTGCCGCAGGCCGGTTGATTTCCAGCTCTCATCCAATAGTTTACGACTCCAGTTCTCACGGCAACCTGGACTCCCTCAGTCCTCTATGGTCTCGTATGCTGCTATGTCATCTAATCTCACACACACACACACACATACACACACGCACACACATACAGATTCAGACCAGTTTGAATCATCTGACGAACTACAGCAGATGATGCAACCTCACGCCATTCCCCATATTTTTTTTTTTTCAGTCATGAATTCATTCTGACAGACAAGCCACAGATTATAAACACAAAGGCCTGTGTGTTGAGCCTTCATTTACTCACATACAACCATGTGTGTGTGTCATTATAGGAAGACAGCAGACTCAACAACAAGCTCTATGCAACAAATTGCTTTTGTTTTAGAAACGTAAAACAGGGTTTGAAACAGTCTTTGGGTTCTCAGTGTTAGTCTAGTCCAGATCTGCAAAGTCTTACTCATTTGATCTGCGCTTTCTTGTCTCGACAGTGAAAAAAACTGAATGATCTTTTTTACTTTTAAGAGTCTTTCATATGATATGTCATTCATCTTTGACAATGAGAATCGGACAAGAAATATTTCCCCATAAGATTTCCCTCAATTTGTAAATTGGAAGCACGTATGTGTTTTTAAAACCACACGTGTCTGTAATGTTTTTTTCTGACGCTGCATTTTCCTTCAGTCTGCCACATCTGTAGGGTTGGGTAAGAACAGCTGGATGTTTGTAAGGTTTCAAGGCCTTCACTGCCTTTATCAGCTCCCATGTACAGAGTTTACAATATTGCAGATGTGAGCTAAAGCTCAAAGTAATATGTCTGTCATGAGAAAGCATTTCCTGCAGCATCATTAATGTCCCCCCGTCACTAATCAGTGCTAACGAGTCCAACCCAAGTAAATAAAAATGGAAATATTCAAACCTTCAAACTCCGCTTTGCAAGAACATTTACATTTTTCTTTTTTTCGTGTCAAATATGCTAATGAAAGTGGTTTTTGATTTCAAGAGTATCTGAAAATGGATTTGATGACAAACCTTCTGCCAGTACCCAACCCTACTCTGTCACACTGGAAGGACGTTTCCCTGTATTTGTCTTATTGTCGTTTAATTCTTCACAACAATGAAGGTGTTATTCTGGCTGCATGTTCAGATTTCCCCTTCCTGTCCAAGCCCACTGTTTTCTACACAAGACTTTTACATTGAAGAAGTAGTAGTACACATTAAGATATATATCAGGCTTAGGATGCATGTTTGGTCATTTCATTAGATTTGTTGGCAATAGGCTTGGGCCTATGATAATATTAAATATCGCAATATTTTCCACCATAATATGCGCCACATGTTTTGCACAGTCTGCTCTGCTGCCAAGTCTGACCCTCAGTGACCCAAGTGGCAGCATCGCTTAAACCTGAAACATGAAGTATATGAAATACGGCCCCGTGATTAGATCAGATATCACAGTATTTGACTTGGACTGTATCGAGATATTAAATTTTGGATGTTGCCCAAGCCTTGTTGGCAATAAAACATTTACAGAAGTCATCAGCCTTTTCCTTTAAACCTCCCTAACTTGCATCTAACTTGCTAAACTCTCATTAAAGCAGCCATCAACACACAGGTAACAGACGCAGCATCCACCGTGTCATTAAAACCCAGGGCTCTAACCGGATCTGATTGTGCACAGACCTGAACAGATCATTTCTAAACTGTTGTAAAGTGACTGGACTAACAAAAAAACAAAAAAGAACTACATATTCTACTGTATTTTGAAGAGACAGACAGGTGGAGGCCTGTTCAAGATCCGTGCTCGCTGTCAGATGTGTGACCGCTTGCTCCAACCTCCCAAGGCCTTGTGTACATAGTTTACATCCCTCACTCACTTTTCTCCAGAGATGTATTTTTTGTGGTTTTGTGGCCTAAAAGCAAAGAGCAGAGACTCACGTTTCCTGCTTTCGCTGCAGTAACCCCTCACACACACACACACACACACACACACACACACTCTTTGACATGAGGATGTTCTAATTTTAGATTTAAATGATATTCTGTACCTCTGTTATTACTGGTGTGAGATGAACACTTGTGGTTTTTGCATTTTGAATCAAATTGTGATTTTTTTTTCCCCTCCACAGCACAAAACAGAACATGTGTCAAATGGCAAAACAGCAAAGGAGACAAATGTATTTTATTTTTTAGAAACTTTTACCAAAGACTTGAATCCTCCTCGTGCAGAAAAAAGATGTTGGTGAGCTTTTCTCTTTCTTTTCTTCTGTTTTCTCTCCTCTGACTGCCCCATCACTCCCCCCTCCCCTCTCACTCTGTATCTGTATTTTTTACCAGTGTCCTCGATTCAAAGTCTCACTTCACTATCAGTTTGTTTGAACCTACTTGCAGTTATTACTATTGGGACACAGAGATGCATCAATAGATAAACTGAGCAGACAGAAGAGCATTAGATATTTCTATTTCTGTTTATCTTGTAGTTTTATCTCCTTTTCAAATGGGGGCCACATTAGAAACTCTTCATCTACAGAACATGTTTGTTTCTAGCAATTGATTTCTTTTTTTTTTCTTTCTTTCTTTTTTTTGTATATCCACTTTGCCAAAGTGCCTGGTCACACCAGAAAGAGGCCGAGCAAAATTCATTTGTGCGTCCTCAAAAAACTGATGAGCTACCATGTCTGCTGAGATCATTTACAACGTGTTCAGCCAGCCGAAGATGCTGGTTAGCTCTCTAATATTAAAAGAGGTTGAAATGGTCACCTCAAAAAAACCTGCCAGCCGGACTTTCTGTAGTTTCCATCTTGACGTCTCACATTAATCTGATTAATGTGCAATTTGAAATTGTGAACTTAAAAAACGAGTAATGGAAGCACACGAACCCCGAGAAACTCTCAAATGTTACAAAAAAAAATCTGCACTCGCACGAGGTGGTTTTTCAGACTATTCGCGAATTCATTCGACAAAATTGAAATGGAAATACAAGTCGTGGCGCCTGCTGTATCAGACCCCAGGGAGCCAGTTCCAACCATGAGGCAGTCTGCTGGAAATCCGTTGTCGTGTTTAATTGGAATGATATTAATGGATATCACTCAATGGAAACACAGACCATTCACAACTGGGTTTTGTTGACTTTTCTAAAAAACAAAAATCGCTTCTATATTTCTCTCTATTATAAACTGGTGACTCTGTCTTTGCTGTGGTAGGTGTGACTGTGAGAGTGTATAGTTGTTTATCTAAGTGTGTCAGCTCTGTGATACACTGGCCACCTGTACAAAGTGTACCCAGCTCATGGATAGATATCCAAGCCTGCAGACCATGTTGTGTCTCCTGTGTGGATCAGTGTCCCACAGATTTCCGCTAATGTGTGATCACAATCCTTTATACCTCTCTGGATCTCCACCTATTATTATTAGTGCTGACAGTTTGCTGTGGACTCACAGCATGGACTCACGTGTATGGTTAGAGTGAGATTAACTGACCTCTGACATTTTGCTTGTCATGCTGTTGTGACCAGGCTCTTCAGATTGTCACTGCCATTTTTCCTTGTCCCCATTTTCATTCTGATCATCGTGATCGTTCCGAATGAAAAGTATTTTGTGTTGCCTGTGAAGTGCACACACGCAGCTGTACTATCAATAAAAACTGTACATATACTGTATTTCGTTGCCTCTGTAAACCTGGACCTCCTCTGGAAACTGTGTCAGTATCGACTGTGTCACGGGAAACTTTTCACCTCTCACGTTTTCAGTGTTTCTCTTGATGATTTAGTAACTCAAACTTATTTCTTTTACCGCAACGCTCTCACAAGGTTTCCGAAATGACACACGTCTGATCTGTAATCACAAACATTGTCAGTTTATTCTCTCTCACCTGGACTCATGTATATGGCGTCGCTGTTGGTGGTGGATCCTGTGGAAACCAGGTGTCTTTGCATCCACATCATCAGAGTCCAGTTTCCAGCTTCACATCCTCCGTTAATGTTCAGGCAGTGATTGTGAAGTTACGATGTCACCTGCTTTTGTTTTTGGTTTTCATCCTTTCGGGGCTCTGATTCTGTTGTCAGCTCTCTGGATAATTTCCTGTCTGTTGACCCATTATGAAAGGAAAGGTGGCTGTTCCTTCCTCTTTTGTAACAGGAACTACAGGATGGAGTTCTTTCTTTTTCTTTTGTTTTTTTGTTGAAAGCTATATCAAAGCATTCTATTATAGTGTTATTTAATATGTAAATGGTATTGCTATACATAAAATAAAATATGGGTTTTGATGTAATTTTCTGAAATGGTTTGTGTGATATGTTTTTTAAGTCGTGCTGCAGCAACAAGGTCTGAACAGATTGCCACTGACTTCACACCTACCCTGGATCAGCTACACACACATCTTTATGCTTTTACACACAGCGTCAGATTCATCAAACCATTTGTTAAAGGTAATTCAACCCAAAATTGTCCTGACAATATTATTACGAAGAATGGGGGGGGGACTAGTTTCAGGTTACATCCCTGTTTATCCAGAGTCAGAGAAATCATTAGCCATTGTTTGAAATGTTTTTTGATCAGCAACATCTCATCAGTTCATCCTTGAGTGCAAAGGAATGTTTGTGCCAAATTTGCCAAAGTTCCTTCAAGGCGTTACTGAGATAGTGTGTACATGAGAATGGGACGGATAGACAACCTGAAAACAATATGCCTCCGGCTCCCATTGTTGCTGGTGCATAGGAATAAAAAAGGCTTAAGTCATTGGGCATTTA